AAGGTTTTCTTCCCCCTGGGAGAAATGTCCTATGGGTTTTTGGATCTGCGATATAAAAAAGTCTTGTCTCGGTCACGTGATGTGTCACGTGACCGGTCAGGTGAGCCTGTCAGCCGGGTCACGGCCCCTGTCAGCCGGCTGACATGTCACGGGCCTGCTGACACGGTCCGCTGACCGGTCACGGCCGCCCGGAGAGATCAGGCCCCCGGCCAATCTCCGGACACTTAGCCTCCTGGCGGGCCTCCAGGGGGTCTGAGGCGGGGCTGAAGGCTGCAGTCGGTCTACTGACGGGCCCGGCCGGCAGGATCCGTCGAGAAACAGGGGGGTCAAGGGAGGTTTTCTTCCCCCTGGGAGAAATGTCCTATGGGTTTTTGGATCTGCGATATAAAAAAGTCTTGTCTCGGTCACGTGATGTGTCACGTGACCGGTCAGGTGAGCCTGTCAGCCGGGTCACGGCCCCTGTCAGCCGGCTGACATGTCACGGGCCTGCTGACACGGTCCGCTGACCGGTCACGGCCGCCCGGAGAGATCAGGCCCCCGGCCAATCTCCGGACACTTAGCCTCCTGGCGGGCCTCCAGGGGGTCTGAGGCGGGGCTGAAGGCTGCAGTCGGTCTACTGACGGGGTTGTTGTCGCAGCCAATGCACTCCCGCAGTCCAAAGTCAAGGCGGTAGCCCGGCTCGCAGCTGATGCAGGAGGTGTACCCAAAATCAGAGTAGGTGCCTTCTTCACAGTCCTCACAGTGGGTGGCGTTGGCGTCTGCGTAGGTCTGCGGCACGCACTGGAGACAGGCGCTGAAGCCGGGGAGGGAGACCGAGCCCTGGTCACAGGGTATACACTCCCCGGATGCTGCAAGCGAGTATGTTCCGCCTGTACAGATCAGGCAAGAGGATGTTCCGGGGGATGGGGCGTGGTAGCCCGCCGAGCAGTTCTGGCAGGTGAGGGAGGTGTTGGAGCCTTCGGCTCTGGATGCCTTCCCGATCGGGCACAGAGAGCAGAAGCTTTGGCCGGAATATTCCTGGTAGCTCCCCGGGAAGCATTCCGGACAAAAGGGGTTTGCGGGTTGGGGTCCATGAGTGCCTGAGAGGCAAGGCCTGCACGAAGATCGGTCGGAAAGGCTCGTCTGTCCGAACCCGCACTCGATACAGGCCGTTTCCGAGGCGTTGGAGAAAAAGCCATCGGGGCAGGCGGCGCAGGGCCCACCGTCCGGCCCACCATAGCCGTCGTCGCATTCACAATCGGTCTTCCTGGTGGAAACTACCGGTACAAGTATACACCCCACCCTCGCAAGTATAGTAGCCCCCAACATGTCCACCAGAGACTTCGGAAACCGGTCATCAACATTCGTCAATAGGACCCTACCCCCTCTGATCACAGTGATCCATACTCAAAACCACCGGTATAATCATACACCCACCCACCCACCCCCCTTAGCAAGTATAGTAGTCCCCAACTACCAGAACTTCGAAAGCCGGTCCTCCGCGTTCGTGGATCCTCCTCGGAGGATACGGTACCGGGAGCAGAATAGATGGGTTTTCAGATATATAGAGAAAGGGGAGCCTCCAAAGTCGGGGGTGCGGGAGCAGAATAGATGGGTTTTCAGATATATAGAGAAAGGGGAGCCTCCAAAGTCGGGGGTGCGGGAGCAGAATAGATGGGTTTTCAGATATATAGAGAAAGGGGAGCCTCCAAAGTCGGGGGTGCGGGAGCAGAATAGATGGGTTTTCAGATATATAGAGAAAGGGGAGCCTCCAAAGTCGGGGGTGTATGGCTTCGTCCTCGAACAACAATCTCGTTTGGATACCCATCAGTTTGATGATCATGATTGCAATTCTTTACGCCATCGTTCTGTGCACGGGAAGATTGAGTTGTTTCAAAGTTGCAGCGAACGCATTCCTGCAACCTCTCGCGCCTGGATACCAGAACTATGACTATTTATTGCAAGACAACAAAGCCACCAAACACAAAAAGACTATGACAACGAAGGGGTTCTTCCCAACCCCGGTGTGTGCATTTTGAGGATGGATAGTTCAGATGTATTGCTCAACCGAGAGAAGCAGCACCAGCTTCATCACGGTGTCGATGGCAATTTTGTAATACAACCAAGCCTTCGCCTCCCGCGCGTCCTCATGATACTGCAACCAGCCCAGGACAAACTCCGCAAAGATTAAGACGCAGCAGATCGAAAGTGTGCCCCTGCCAGTCGACGAGTTGTACGCACGAGACGGCAGCCAGACACCTGTTGAGAAGAAGAGAGCGTCACCTCTACCGGTGCAAAGGAAGGCAGGAACCTGTAGGATTCCCAAATTGATCGTTCTCAAGAAAGCTTTGCGACGTCAGAGCGTTGGCGACGCAGGTGCAAAAAGGCGACGTCTTGCTCGGATATGTTCGACATTGTAATTTGAAGGCTTCAAGGACAACACTGTAATTGCCGCCATTGAAACATGTTGCGTCCTGACAGGCATCGATCTTTTCGACGGCGGACTTCTCAGTACCACGGGATGAGGGCTACAAGGTACGAGGTACGAGGTACGAGGGCTGGAGAGGGGATGAGGGCTACAAGGTACGAGGTACGAGGTACGAGGTACGAGGTACGAGGTACGAGGGCTGGAGAGGGGATGAGGGCTACAAGGTACGAGGTACGAGGTACGAGGTACGAGGTACGAGGTACGAGGGCTGGAGAGGGGATGAGGGCTACAAGGTACGAGGTACGAGGTACGAGGTACGAGGTACGAGGTACGAGGGCTGGAGAGGGGATGAGGGCTACAAGGTACGAGGTACGAGGTACGAGGTACGAGGGCTGGAGAGGGGATGAGGGCTACAAGGTACGAGGTACGAGGTACGAGGTACGAGGGCTTCAGAGGGGATGAGGGCCACTGGATACAACTGACGAGAGGTACGAGGTGCATCTTCCTCCATCTTCCATCTTCCAACAACAAGATATCAACAAACTATAGTACACATTTCTACAGGAAATACCAAAAATGAAATATATATATCAACAATATTCTCTACAGGAATACAGACCATACACCTCATGACATATAGTCAACACTACACAACACCCCATACAAGTATCCAATGGCTTCTGAAGCCATACGACACCATGCAAACACTATATTCGCCCCTGTTTGACGAAAGTGGTTCCTTGAACCCCGTATTTATGCATGGCCTAACGCAGTATAATCCCTCTACATGGGCTGTTTTCATGTATATGTTAGAAAATTCGACGTTGCCATTCAAAAACTTGCACAAGATACACGAAGAGATAGAAAATGACTCGTCCGATTTCTCGAAATGGATACGGGCAGAACAACAATACTTGAATACTGACATTCAGTATGATATGCTGAGAAAGAATGTAATGTTCTTGAAGAGCGTATTACAGTGCTTCCAGCGTATGTACATGCAAGAGTCCAAGACTCACTATGATCTTGTAAAGAAAGCCTTCCAAGCTATCAAATCAGCCATACAAGTTATGCAAGACGTTGCAGGCTTCATCGACCGTTCAAGATCAGTACACGCGATACAGAATCAACTCTCTCTACCACACGAAGTGCTTTCAAATATCTTCCAACAAGCCATGTCCTACCACCTAAAAATACTCCAAAAATCCCTCATATACTTGGATTGGAAACAACATCAAGATAATATGACACAGTTCTTTTATGAAAGAATCGTTGGAAATACGAGTTCACTGACACAACCGGAATTCATACAAAATCTTAAAACAGAACTTTTCAGTCGCTTACCTTTTCTATCACATACTCAATGAACAAATACAATGGTTGCATTGGATGTTTCAACCACAATTGAGCATGAAGTTGGCGTATCCAACGGACTCAAACACGCAATCAAACGCTTCGGACAACCACTAAACACTGCGATGATACATCGCAGGGATGGTCAAAAATGGTTGTGACAATGGCATGAAATAAGCAGCCTTGCTGGAGCCAACAAGAGGAAAACAAACTCCCATGTCTCCATCCCCCGGATGAATAACCCCGATAGGATGGTTCAGAAACCCCCTGTAAAACATTCCAAATCAATAAATGATAAAACACAAAAACTACAAGTGGCATCACGCGATTGTGTACTTGATCATGTCCAGAGACTCCACTAGATAGTAAAGATTTTGCTCCATATCTTTCCTCTGTGCAGCATCTAACTCCTCAGAGTTCATCCCATTCACCCCCACAGCAATCCTCTGCAAAATCTTCTCTTCGAGAACTTCCAAGCGGTATTCAAGCGTCTTCAGCACTGGAATTAAATAGTCTTGCTGCGACTCGTTGTAAAAACGAACAGAATCCACCAAAAATTTTACTCGTGTCTGCATGTTACGAACCTCTTGCAGCAGTTCCTGCAGTGTCATCGTCCTATCCATGAAACGATTCAACCATTTCAAAATCTTCTCTCTACTTGCAACAACAAAAGGAGTGATCATAGCCGCAAGCAACTGTAATCTCTGCCGCGTGTTTGCAGAACCGGTGTATCCCCTATAACTTGAAGAATCTTGTATCAGGGTCGTTGGTGCATGTTTGTTTTCGTTGTATTGCATCGTGGGAGTTTTGGATTCATACCAAGGTGACAGCATTTTGACACAATCCTTTAGACAGTACCTTTATATGAAATAATAGGTCATTCTTGAGTCAGAACCTCCCAAACACCCAAAAAATCCCCTCACTTTTCCCCACATACCACAACAAAACATCAAACTTTTCGAAAAATCACTACAAATTTCACTCCATTTTCTCTCACAAATTACTCAAAATACACAAATATCACACAGGAATCCATCCGAACAGCACTCCCGCATGCTCCCAGGGCCTGGAAGGAGTGGTCAAATTGCTTAAATTTGACCATCTACGACCACTTTTTAGTCAATTTTTGACTAAAAACGTTTTGGAAAGGTGTTGTAGTCAATTTTTGGCCAAAGATGTTGTAGTCAATACTTGACCAAAGATGTTGTAGTCAATTTTTGACCAAAGATGTTGTAGTCAATTTTTGACCAAAGATGTTGTAGTCAATTTTTGACCAAAGATGTTGTAGTCAATTTTTGACCAAAGATGTTGTAGTCAATTTTTGACCAAAGATGTTGTAGTCAATACTTGACCAAAGATGTTGTAGTCAATTTTTGACCATTAGAGGAGTGTTATGGGGAACAATCTTCACGATTCACATGTGCCTGGTGTTTGCAGTGGCTACCATGTGGCCTGTTGCCTTTTCACAAAATATCACATTGCAAGTCTCATACGTGATTGGATCACTCACAATAATCACAATACAAAGAGTAAACAGCAATCATTGCATTCTGTATCAAGTCGAGGAGTGTGTTTATGGCAAAACCCCCCCGTTAGAGGTCATCACATTGATACATGGCACGTTGCACAAACTTTTTGCGGTTGATCTCACACCTGATGTCATATTTCAATACGGGCAGTTGGGAGTCATGCTCGGTGTATTTCTCAACATCGCATCATTGATCTGTTCTACTGGAATAAACTCAAAGGTATGCAATTTTCATGTCTCTGTGAAATCATATTGAATTTTTTTTATTTTTGTCGCTTATAGGTTTCACAAAGCCCCTAACAAGCAAAACACATGCCGCGCCTGAGCAAGAGGCGTACAGAGGAACTGAGAAACGCGGGCGGTGGGCCACACCCCCCTGCCTCTGGCATGAACCTAGAGACCCTCATGAGCGCCTTCCCCGAGTGGCACGACATGGGCCTCTGGCCCCACGACAGGCTGCGGACAGCGCTCTGCGCCAGCCGCGGGATCAGGGCCCTCGTCAAAGAGACCCTGAACCGAGACAACCACTGGATCACGACGGTCCGTGTAAACGGATACCGAAGGAGAGACATGAAATGGTTCCTCTCAGGCATCGGGGCAAAGATGGGCCTCATCGGTCGCTTCACGCTGTACCTCGAAGAAGGGTACGGCTACAGGGGTGCGCGCGTACACGAATTCACCAAGAAAGTCTGTGGAAACAGGTCCCTTGCCCCGGGTCCGACGGACCTCATTGTCGAAGTTTCCACCGCACTCGGCCTGTTCCACAAGGAGTGCATATGCCACAGGCTCAGATCCCTCGACGTCAGGGTCCACGTCGAGGAATGGGAGCACATCAACAGAATGATCCACAACAGCCGCAGCACCCTCTCGGAGCTCTCGCTGTGCAGATACGACGGGAGCATCGACATGGGTTCCAGTGATTACGCCTGCCTGAACGTGATCAAACTCTTCAGCGGGGACTTGTTGAATCTCAGGCGCATCAGCCTCGGGGGCGTCAAGATCGATTACGTGACTGCCCTTTGCATGATGCGTGGCCTGCAGAGAACGGATAGTGACCTCTTCTCGGGAATGTTCCAGAAAATGCACAGGCTCGACACCCTCGAGTTCATCAGGACCGACTTCCGCACCAAGAAAGTGTTCAACCACAGGCTGCTGAAGGAGATCGAGAACGAATGCCATCGCAGGGACTTTGTAGCGCACCTCAGTTTTGACCGCGTCAAGCTCAGCAACCTCCACATGATCTCGAAGATGAGATTTCTCACGGAGCTCAGCTTTGAAAGAATCGAGTTCAGAGACTGCGGTGTGCAAACCTTCCTGGACAGCACGAGCGATGTGTTGCCAAACGTCACAAGGCTCGCATTCGTCGACTGTGGGCTCTGCATGGAGGCCATCTGCAGAATCGTCTCCGTCCTCCACGGCGAAAGGCTGCAGCATCTCGACGTGTCCCGCAACAAACCCAGGGAGTTGTTGACAGCGCAAGCCACAGACCGCCTCGTGACAGTCCTCTCGAGGTGTCTCGTTGAGTTCACCGCTATGGAGACGCTCAGGATGGAAGACATGAACAGGGAGGTATGGGCATACCTCATGAGGTTCCAGTACATCGACCTGAAGGTGCTGCTCCGGGGCTGGCCCCGGTTACATGGATCCCTCAAGGTGTTCGGATGCAGAATGAACGAGCTCTCCAGAGAGAGCGTGGTGAAGCTCGAGAGCATCCTCCCAGAGCATTGCGTCGTGCATGCATGATTCTGTCGTGGATGCACCCTGGGGCGGAACGATTGTTGTTGTTTTTTTTGTTGAATGAAATCTTGGTCGTCGTCCGACCACTAAAATACGGAAAAGGAATCTTTTTTTTTCTGTATCTTTTTTTCGGTTTGTGCTCTGTGTGGTGAGGCAGCGGGGTCCGCTGCAGAATACACACACCCGACCACCACAAGGAGATGCACAGGCGGATCCTTCCCGAACCCCAGGGGGCGACTCTCTCCATTTTGAGCCATGAACAGGCAAAGACTCCCGACCTGCCTCGGAAGCTGGAGATACTGACGGTGGCGTTTCTCTTCATCTCGAAGGAGGCCAGGGTTAGGACGATAAGGGAAGGTGATGCGCCCTGGTTCTCCGTGATTGACCTGATCAGCGCGCTGTGTGGTGTCGGAGGCACCAAGGAGATCAAGAGTGTGATGAAGCAGATTCCATCCGACATCACGTCGAGGTATCTTCAGAGGCACCTGGGGGGGAAGAAGGACACGCGCGAACCGACTGTGGACTATGATGGGGCGATCAAGGTCGTCGATGCGATCTTCGAGATCTGTGGCCAGCATGCTCAACACAGGGACAAGATCATTGCAACCTTCAACCAGTGTGTGAGGGTCAAACCAACGATTGAGATTTTCCCGGGTGGGAATATTCGAGTGCTTTACGCCTGGCCGGAACCGCTGCTTGCTCTGATGGACGTCGTGTCCGTTGTCTGCAACAGAGTGAATGACCCACAACAGACTCGCTTTGCAACTGAAACTTTGGGATCGATCTTCAATCGTTTTCCGGAAACCCTCGATGATGTCGATTACTTCCAGTTTTTTGGCCAGGGTCAAAAAGAGACCCCGTGTAGCAACCTGGACACCGCCTTGAAAGTCGCCACACACATCCAGAGCAGCACAGCAGCACAATTCCGCAGTGTGACTATCGACACGCTGAAGAAGGTCTTGGCTGGTGACCCGAGTCTTCATGGAGTACTCGCCCGCAATCGTCAGTCGGGGAGTGCATTGTCGAACATCGCGCGCGAGAGTATTGCGGGAACCCAGACAGCGGGGGACGTTGAGAGAGAGCCCAAAAGGCAGAAGGTGGACGATGCATCCGACATGATGCTGTTGAGGGTTCCCGAGCACTGGAATGCCGACGAGTGCCACCGGGTGGTTGTGGAGGTCACGAAGGTGGTGGAGAAGAAGATTCAACTGACTGAATGCAAGACGGAGAAGCTGAAGGTGAAGTTGGAGGTGAACAAGGGGGACCTTGACCGGTTGAAGCAATTGGGGGAGAACATGAAGGTGGAATTGGAGATTGGCAAGGTGAAGGTGGAGCAAGAGAAGTGTTGTGTTGACAAGGAGAGGTCGACAGCGGAGAGAATCAAGTGTGAGATGGAGATGGAGAGGTTGAAGATGTTTTCTGCGGCCAACAACAGGGAGCAATCCACGGCAGAAGTGAGAAGGAATCGGACGAGCTTCGACAAGTGGACACTGGCGAGCATCATTGAGCGCAAGTTGGCGAAGTGCCCGAGGCACTTGATTGGGAGCATTCCAATGGAGCACTACCCGAAGCTCGACAGGGCCCTGTCGCAACTGTATTTGAAGCAGAATGGTGTGCTTCCGCCGACGGACGGAGTCTGCTATTTGACAGACCCTTCCGTGGCTATCCATTCGTATGACGACTATCAGGTCATTGCTTTGTTTTTTTGCACTCTGCGGCGTCTGCCCCTCTGAAAACTTTCTCACACAGTTTCTCTCGACGCTGTACAAGGTCTTGGAGGACCATGCCAAGCAGTGCGCCAGGGATGAGAGGCAGATGACACTGAATCCGTTTGTCAATCGTTTTGAAGGCAGAGGATACTGATCAACGATTGTTGATTGTTTTTTTTGTTGAATGTTCTCCTGGCCCAAAACGAGTCATTTGTTCGCTGTTTTGATTTTTTTCTGTTTGTGTTCAATGAATCGATCAAACAAACACAACACCTTGTGTGGTTCAAAAAAACGACAGAGTATGGGGATCAACATCTTGTCGTGTTGCACATCCGATCTTGTGAGCTATTTGCTGAATTCCCTTCCCAACCGTCAGATCGTCTGCCTTTCCATGACGTGCAAAAGCATCCAGCACATCCTACAAGGCGAGAGAGTCTGTCGCCAACTGATACAGAAACGCCTGGAGAGGTGCCGCGAGGCTCACTCGGAGATGATTCGTGCAATGGGCCTGCAGTGGGGGGCTGTGCTGTGGGAAAGGCCCAAACGGCACAGTGACATGCGCCTGCTCTCCCTCTACTCGTTCGGGGGCTGCATGTTGTGTGGTAGGAAGTGTCGTACAGTGTACGAGGGCTGGTCCATCAGAATGTGCAAGAATTGCTTCATTTTCGAGACAGTTGGGGAGAGGATCATCGATGTGGCATACGAACTCGAACGGAACCAGTACGCGCATCTCCCGTGCAGGGTTCTGCAATACAGGAGAAAGTTTCTCAAGTCCGATATTGAGGCGATATCGGGGAAATACCTGGATTCCGATGACATCGATGACGCGTTCGCGAGAAAGCGAGACATGGAGAGGCAGTGGGAGCTTGACTTGGAGAGGCAGATGCTGCATCGACAGCTGGAGGAAAAACGTGCACGCAGGCGGGCCAAGGTTTCTTGCGCCTGCGGCGCGGTCGTCTGCCAAGGGTCCTTCACCGCACACCAAAGATCCTTAAAAAGCACATTCGGGGGATGAACATGCTCAAACTTTGAAATGTATATCCGACCAACAAAAAAACAAAAACAACACTCATGCAATCCCCAACTGGCTGAAATGCTCACAAGATTCACAAAAAAGATGTCCCCGATCGGGAGAGTCGTCGTCACCATAATCAAAAGGCTCATAGCGCTCATCAAGCTGTCCCTCAACATGCTCCACCATTGGAAGGCCCAGAACGTCACATGCGAACAACTCGTACAATTACAAAGAGACACAATAGAGCACAGGCTGTACTACTGCAACCTCGAACTCGCACTCCACGACTACCCCAACACATACATGAGGAATAGGATAATAGATCAAATACACTCAATCTGCATCACCTATCGGAGAATCGCCGACTACTCTATCGTCAGTACCCCCCTGCACACTCCACCACCACCCAACACTGAACGATTGAAAACAACAGCATATCGTCATGACATTCCCAGAATACAGAAACAGGAAGATAAGAGATCTCGTACAACTCATCGAATTACAAGAGACAAAGATAAGTACACTCGAACAAGACCTCAGGTACACACACACACACACAACGACACACACACACACACGAACAAAACACACACACGAACAACACACACACACACACACACACGAACGACACACACACACACACACACACACACACACACACACACACACACAACACACACACACACCAACGAGAAAAACGAGAGAAACGAGAAAAACGAAAACGAAAAACGAAAAACGCTCCATCCCTATATTCTAACAAAACATACAGAACATTCTACGACATACTCAAGCCTCTCGTCGTGGTAAACCCCGACCAATCACACTCCATCGCCCACAAAAAAGAAAAATCCCAAATACACCATTGCGAACATGTCAGCCCCAGGACCACGCAGCGATGGGCGTTCATCACCTCCGACCTCGAAATGGAACTTTGAAAGGCCACTCCACACCCTTCTTGACCCTCTCACTCTTCTGTAATTGACCCTCCAACATGTACGTGCAAAGCAGCCCCATAAAGGAAAGAATTACAGCCCGCCTCGTAATCCCCCAAATGTCCACACCCCACTCGTCCTTCTTCTCAGCCGAATCCTTCTCCTTCTCCTTCTCCTTCTCAGCCTCCTTCTCAGCCTCCTTCTCAGCCTCCTTCTCCTTCTCAGCCTCCTTCTCCTTCTCAGTCTCCTTCCCCTTCTCCTTCTCAGTCTCCTTCTCCTTCTCCTTCTCAGTCTCCTTCTCCTTCTCAGTCTCCTTCTCCTTCACCTTCTCAGTCTCCTTCTCCTTCACCTTCTCAGTCTCCTTCTCCTTCACCTTCTCAGTCTCCTTCTCCTTCACCTTCTCAGTCTCCTTCTCCTTCATCTCCTTCCCTCCCCCTGATTCCTCTCGACCTCCTCCTGCTTCTTCCTCTCGACCTCCTCCTGCTTCTTCCTCTCGACCTCCTCCTGCTTCTTCCTCTCGACCTCCTCCTGCTTCTTTCTCTCGACCTCCTCCTGCTTCTTCCTATCGGCCTCCTCCTTCTTCCTCTCGACCTCCTCCGGCTTCTTCATCTCGGCTTCCTGCCTCTTCATCTCGGCTTCCTCCTTCTCCTTCCTCGCCTTCTCCTTCTTCTCCTTCTTCTCCTGCTTCTTCTTCTTCTTCTTTTCCACATCCTCCTCATCCTCCTCATCCTCCTCCTCCTTCTCCTCCCCCTTCTCCTTCTCCTTCTCCTTCTCCTTCCCTTCTCCTTCTCCTTCTCCTTCTCCTTCTCCTTCTCCTTCTCCACAGCCGCATCGTATTGCTTCTTTAGCGCTTCCGCACCCCCAGCCTCCTGCTCCAACTTCTCCCTCAAAGCTGTCTGAGACGCCATGTTCATAAGCCTCGGCTGGCACGCCTCCATCTTCGCCACAATCGCCTTCCTCGACCCCCCCAAACTCCCCTCCCCCACGTCAACGTCGTACAGATCCCACCCGTGCGCATACCCGTAGTAAGATCCGAACTTGTGCAGCTGACGCAAGGTGTTGAAAAGCTTAAATCTCCACGTCTCCCCATCCCCTGCATCACCCCCATCCCGCATCGTCTCCAGCAAAAGCCCATTCTCACGCTCAAAGTGAAGCCTAAGCCACCTCTCCCACACATGCACCATGGCCCCCGTCCACCACACAAGCTTCGATACCCCACACCTGTTCTTCAAAGACTTCACAACCCCCTCCCGGAACCAACCAGGCGCATGACTCAAGATATCACTCTCAAAACGCCATAACCCATCTGAACTCGCCGCAAAGGACCCCATCAATTTAATGCATTCATTGAAGGTATTCTTGTCATGCGTCAACGAACTCAAGCTTGCAACAACAGATCTCCACAGGGTGCTCGACCTTAAATCCCGACCACCCAGCCCAGAAAGACTTTGCGAAAAATCCGACATCAACCCCCGCAGCAAACTCCTCGGCCTGCCCACACGCACCCCCTTCCCCAGCTGCAGATTTGATTCAAACGCACGCAACACTTCCACCACCGATGAAGACCCCTCGTCCAACACAGCCGGACCCGCAAACTCAAAAAAACCACACTCAATGACAGATGTGACATGGTCCAGAGCCCTTAGAAGCTTCCTCATCTTTAGCTCCACTTGATTCAAAATCTCACACTCGAAATAATCCCGCACCCCCTTCGCCACCGAAAGGCACATTTCCCCCTTGTATTGTGCTAAACAAGCACTCTGCTGCCGTCGAATCTCCTTGGGAAGATACGCATCCTTCTGCAACGCCGACTTCAACGCCAAGAAAAAGTCTTTCGGTAGAAGATCCCCCTTACGATCCCACCCCCTAAGCACCAAAATAAGTTCCTCCAGACTCATCCCCCACACACCATCCAAATCACCGCTGCCCACCCACTTTTTACCCTCGAACCTCTGTAAAACCACATCACAACTGCGTATCCATGCGACCTGAGCCGTAGACAACAGGGCCTCAAGAATTCCCCGCTGATTCTCGTGGTTCTTTTTGTCAACCTCGCTCTGATCCAAATCCTCACACAAAGAAGCATCCTCCCCCAAAGACACCACCCCACCGTCACCCCTGTCATCAACTCCAACTCCCACCCCCACGGTTATCAAAGATCCAATCCACTCCACACCCCCCACACACCGAAGCTGTCGCCTCAGCTCCTGCAGTGATATCATGCTCACAAACTTGTCTTGGTTTTCTTCCATCATGGACATCATCGCAGACAACACATGCACAGCCTTTCTGCGTTTGTCATCCAAGCCAAAAACATAATCCCACAGATCGTACAGATCGTCCCCGTGCGCATACCCATAGTACGACCTCATCCCACATAGCTCTTCCACAACCTGCAACAACTCCGCTTCTGCACCGTCCACATCATTGTTCATATCCCCAAGAAGTCGGCGTATCTTCCTCATCTGGCCCCTGAAAAAAGTTCCCTCCATCTCTCACACACACACACCATACCCTGCTGCCACCACTCCGCATCACTCACATCCCTCTTCCCAAGCGCATGCTTCACCGACTGCACGAACCAATCCACACCCACACCCCTCGCACAGGCTACAACACCATCCACACCCACACCCTGCTTAATCAACCCCCCGATCCCCTCCATGCACTCAACCAAACTCTTCTTGTCGTGCGTAAGAGCAGAAAGCCTCCTACACACTTCCCCAACCTCAAAAGAATCATCCATATCATCACCCACAAGAGCAGCACCAAAGTCCCCCACCAGGGCATGAAGCAACGATACCCCACGCACCCGTGCCAAAAGACCCTTCTGTTCACCCACACACTCCCGCAGCAACTTCTCCACAGATCTCACACTCGTAACCTTCACCTCCGATGAACCCCCCTCAAACACAGGATCGAATAACCCAAGGTCAAAAACACCCTGCTCCATCAGACCCGTAACACAGTCGAGCACATCAAAGAACTCATCATGAAGAGCGCTCCCCACATAACCAACTATGCGCCTCCTCCGGTACTTCCGCAAACATATCAATGAATCGACCAGCAGCTCATCCGGATACATAAGACATAGACCCCCACGAATCAGGTCTATCGTAGTCCTGATCTTGTCATGTTCACGAACAAACTTGCCCTCGTCAATGCCCTTATTGCCCTCTTCACTGCCCTTGTTGCCCTTGTCACTGCCCTTTTTGCCCTTGTCACTGCCCTTATTGCCCTGATTCCCAATCCTTCTCTCCAAGTCCTCAAACCACCGCGTCGGCAAAGGTTTTTGAGTTCGCACACATCTCATCAGAATCCCAAAAAATTCCTCTGGCGGTTTCTGATTTAGACTATTTGGAACATATGGAACATTCCCTGGGACCCCTTTAGACCTATTCTTCAAAACCTGACACTTGACCCGCAAAGTCTCAAAACTCATACACCCAGCCGACAGGTAGCACAGCTTCAGGAGATGACACTGCAGCGCGAGGTTCTTCTTCTCATCCCCCAAAGAACTGTCCTGCAACACCTCATCGAACATTGCACCACATTCCCTGATTGAAAGATAATAGGAGGAGGTCATCTCATCATTCAAATTATCACCCAAAGCTTCACCCCCAACACCCACTCCCTCATCATTCGGAACAGCACCAGGCACCTCACCCCCAACACCCCCTCCCCTCAACACTGCATCACCAACACCACCAAACCCAGACCCAGACCCAGACCCAGACCCAGTTACACCCGCAGACCCAGACCCAGACCCAGACCCAAACCCAGACCCAAACCCAGACCCAGACCCAGACCCAGACCCAGACCCAGACTCAGTTACACCCGCAGACCCAGACCCAGTCCCAGTCAAGAAACCCTTCAAAGCACGCAAATAACGTAAACTCAACATCCCCTTCTTATCCTGCAGACTCTCAAGATGACTGATGTAGTCCTTCAGCCCAACCTCACCACCACCGTTGAGGAAATCATCGTCAAAACTATTGCTCTCCGCAAAAACATCGTCATCCAACATAGAATCGATCTTCTTAACCACAGCACCACCATCAAAATCATTCTTCTTCAGAAGATCAGCAAGCTCACTTTGCAATGCACTCTCCTCTGATTCATCTTCACTCGACATCCACACACACAGTCAAAAAAGCACTCCCCCTTGAACAAAAACTCCAACGATATATATTTCAAATAGTTGAAAAAATTCAAACTCTAGACCCAAACAACTCTCCCACCACCACACTTCTCACACACACGCCCCACAACTGGCCTTCGATACCTAGCATGAAGCTCCCCATTCGGAGGCACCCACTCGAAATCTTCACTCCCCACGTAATCCCGCAGCCTCCTCACAACCAAAACACAGCACACACAACAACAACAACAAAATATAGCCACCCCCAACCCAATCCTGCCAAAAAAACAGTCTCAAACAAAACGTAAACAAAAACACACAACAACAACAACAAAAACAAAACAAAACAAAACAAAACGAAAACAAAACAAAAACAAAACAAAACAAAAACAAAACAAAACAAAGAAAAACAAAAACACTCACATCACTGTTGGATTGAGCACCTGCCGCAAAAAAAGTCACAACACCCAGACAAAAACATCCTCGCACTCACTCACCGGCGACAAAAATGACCGCCCCTCCGCAGTCACCGACACCACAGCAATCCCCTCCCCAGATAGCCTGTCACTAATCGAAGACCGAGATGCCTCAAGCCCAGTCGAAATAAGCCTGCAACTACACTCTCACTCCACCCACAGAATGAAACAATACAAGCACCTGGGCACTGACAGCAGAAGCTTCATAAGGTCCATGTTCACATCCACAACAACAACCCAAAAAACACCCGCCCGCTCAACACCCACCGTCACCCAAAGCTCCACAACACCAAACTCCAACGAAACAATACGCCTCACTGCTCCAATCTCCAAAACACCGGGCTCCCCTGTGGCCTCCAAAACAACTCTCAATGACACCACCACTTGAAGCGAATTGTGGCACTCCCCCAACAAACCAAAACCACACCCAAGAAGAACTCCGCTGCACCCTGAAGCAAGCCCCGAACAATTACCACAATCACGATCATGCCCACCACCACAAGACAATGACTCATACTCCCCAGAACCACACTCACGGCAAAACGAACAGGTCGCAACACCTCCCAAACAAGACGACAGGTACTCCCCCGCACCGCAAACACCGCAAACAACGCACTCCCTATCCCCCCACCCACGGCACCCCGCTACCTCCACCTCACCCGACCCACAGGCCCCCCGGCACGCAACACACTCCCCCAAAGCCCCACCACCGCACCCCCGAAGGTACGTACCATCACCACACTCCTCCATACCACGCAACGTGCAGTTCCCACACTCCCCCGCACTCACACCACCACACCCACCACCCTCAACCCTGTACTCCCCAGCGCTGCAATCCACACATCTCACGCACTCCCCCCGACTCCCAACCCCACAACCAAAAAGGTACTCCCCATCCCCACACTCCACACTCGCCACCTCCAAACAACCCCCGCACTCACGGTCAAACACACCATCCTCACACCCTGACAATTCGTACTCCCCAGAACCACACTCACGGCAATCCAAACACTCCTTCACACCCCCCAAACAAGACGAACGATACTTCCCCGCACCGCAAACACCGCAAACACCGCACTCCCTATCCCCCCACCCACGGCACCCCGCTACCTCCACCTCACCCGACCCACAGGGCCCCCGGCACGCAACACACTCCCCCGGAGCCCCACCACCGCACCCCCGAAGGTACGTACCATCACCACACTCCTCCATACCACGCAACGTGCAGTTCCCACCACACTCCCCCCCACTCACACCACCACACCCACCACCCTCAACCCTGTACTCCCCAGCCACTCGAACCAACGATGACAAAAGAAGCATGAAAATTCGCTCATTGTCTTGTCTCTTCCTCTGCACCATATTCACAAGTACTCTCCCAAACACCCTGTCCCAGGAAAAGCGTACATCGCATAGAGTGCTCAAGAGAACTTGGGCATTCAAGGCAGAGGACGTGCTGAGGCTGCAGAATGCATCGAAATCCCTTGTTGCACCAAACCCATTGACACCAACCCCCCACACTCCCCGGATCAACAGCAACGCAAGCACGGGCTCTCCTTCGTCGTGTTTTCAAGACAGGCCGTTAACGCCAGACCGCTGGCCGCAAACATGGGTGACGAAACAAATAGAGACGAGATATCCGTGCCAAACGCATTCCGTCGCGCAGTGATCTTGAGAGGATTCGGCATGCACTTGTTGCCATGCCAAAAAGACGAGGATTGTGGTGTTGGGATGAAATGTGAAGTCTTCCCATTTGGAAGATTTTGCACGCTGAACGTGACCACAACCTTGGAGGAAATGTAGAGAAGAAGGTTTTTTACTCGTCGAGTATTTGAGAAAACGTATCGTTCAGCCAATAAACAGTGGGGCTCGATGACCGTTGAACCCTCTACAATAAGCACCTTCGTTTTGGCAATCATCGCGCAGACAGTCGCTGTCGTCTTCTTAGTAGCCAACTTCGGCGTTCTCAAACAGAACACTGGAAGAAAAATCGCACCCATCGTGAAGAAGGATTCCGGTGGTGCGGCGAAACCAGGGAATGTTGCGGATAAAACTACATTTGGAAACGGGGGAGATGGCATTATGATCGATATAGACGGAAATGGTTATTATTGGGGTGGTGGTGGCTCGGGTAATTTTTACACTTATAGTGGAACTGGGTACAATGGGGTCCCAGTGTCAGAGCTCATAGGAACCGAGCCCGAGTCAGACAAAGGCCTATCAGGATGAAAGGACAGTTGGCTGTCTCGTACTCGTATTCGAAGCTGACTTCTCCTGGATGACCCAGGATACTCTACTCCAGTGTGAAGCTGCTGAAAGGACCCCTGTGGAGGCCTTTGTTGCAGCAACCGTGTACCCGTGGGGACTTACAAGGTAAACAGAAGGGGTGCGTCTTGTGGAGTACGACCCGTTGGAAGCAGCTTGCTACCATGCAAGGACGGGGTTCTCTTACCCTGCGAGAGAGCATGGTATCCTCTCGAAGGTCAGAAGGGATGCTTGTCAACTTCCAAGAACAGGACACCCCTCCTTTCTGTAGCCAAGAGACGGCACCCCTGGCTCATTCCTCGAAGCTATAAAAGGATGAAACTCGTCAGAGCTAGGTGGTCCTCTTCCCCTTTCGTGTGTGTGCCACGATTGTTGAGACGTCTTTGTGTGTATCGTCTTGTCTTGTTTTGTGTGTGTGTGTGAAAGAAATAAAAGAGAGTTAGATCTCCTTCTGTTTCACCGCTTTCCCTCTTAGTAGAGAAATCCAACGTGAGTTCTTATTGAACTGCGCTTGAAGGTCCACTCGAGAATCTTCGAGGTGTGACACCCAGGAGGTATGGGTGGGGGCGGGGGCGGGTCATGTCATCAACTCAACACAGGCACTTGCCCTGGTGGTGCTGGTGGTATTTCACCGGGAAGCAGTAGCTTGAGCTCAGGGCCTGGTGGAGACGGTAGTCCAGGCACTGGGGGTGGGGGCGGTGGAGGATATGTCAGTGACAACGGTGGAAGCGGTGGTTCAGGCATGATCGTGTTGAGACTCAAATGTGCACAATGCTTGAAAAACTACGTGGAAGTCCGGCGTATGGGGTGGCGAACGGTGGGTCTGGGTGCGATGCTGCGAGTGTGTGTGCGGCGGGGAGCTATGCGAGTCCGGGGGCTCCGAAGTTTTCGAACGTGGCGCTGGTGGCAGGGAATGGTGTCCTTGGCAAGACGGTTCAGGATGGATTTGGTGCGGCTGCTCAGTTCAACGGGTTGAATGTCCCCCTGTTCTACAGGAATGGCGTCATGTACGTCGGTGACTATCCAAGCCACGTGCGTGCAATCTTGTTGAATGGCGGGAACTATGTTCAAACGGTTGTATCAGACACTGGGGCAGGTGCGGCCACTGTTCGTGGGATCTATGTGAATTTGGCGGGAGATACAATCATCTATTCCTTGGATAGTTTAAGATGCATAAGGCAATACAAGAATTCTGTCTATTCAACCCTCGTCGGCACGTGTGGATCTACTGCTGGGACGGCTAATGCGATAGGGAATTTGGCCACGGCTCGTTTCAGTTCTATTTGGGATTTCAAGTTTTTGCATGGCGACGAGACGAAGATGTACGTCTGTGACTACTCAAACAATCAAATCCGGTTTGTGGATTTCATCTCGGGAAATACCACAAGCCCTTTCTCGGGAACTCCACTTTCCAGTCCCAGTGGCTTAGTCATTACTAAAGACAACAATTTTTTGTATGTAGCCAATCAAGGCAATCATGTCATCGTAGAGATAGATATCAATGCTGGGTCAATGAGAACTGTGGTCGGAACAGCGGGAAACGCAGCGTGCTCGAGCGGTGTCGGGCCAGCGGCGGGGCTTAACGTCCCTGCATACATTATCCTCTCACCAGATGAACAATATCTTTTTGTCTCCGTTTGGAGTTGTCATAGAATTGCGATGATAAGACGATCTGACTGGTCGATGACGTTTGTCGTCGGTTCGGGGACCGGGGGTTATGCAAACAATGCGGTTGCGTTGAGTGCACAACTTTATAATCCAGCTGGTATGGCGTACAATGGTGACTTTACTGAGTTGTACGTTACAAGTTATGCAAGTTCGTGGGTGCAGTCGGTGCAAATGGATCTGTGCACATCGTGTCCCTCCGCAAGGCCATACTCACCACCAGGCTCCACGAACGAGTGCCTCTGTGGTACCGAGGATGTGTGCGGCACCAATGAGTACGTCTCTGGCAACAACAGCTGCTCCGCGTGCGTGGCCGGGACCTCGGCGTACGGGAACAATGTCACGAACGGTTGCGCCTGCAGCTGGAACCCCACCGGGCAGAACTGCCCCGTGAACCAGGAGTGGGATTCCGCGAGCGGGATGTGCAAGGCGTGCCCCGTGGGGAAGATCAGCCCGGACTACGGCCCCGCGAACAACCAGAGCTGCGACGTGCCGAGCGCGTGCCCTGTGAACACGTACGCGGTGTCTACGAGCTACGTGGCGATGATTGGGAATCCGGCTGTGACCACGGTCAGCGACGGGACGGTGCTGAAGTTTGTGAGCGATGAGACGAGTGCCCAGACGAGGTATGTGGTGGACTTTCCCGAGGATGTGGTGCTGGACATGCTGGTGGTTGGCGGTGGAGGAGGTGGCGGTTGGAGGATTGGGGCTGGGGGTGGTGCTGGAGGGTTGATCTACCAGGAGGGCGTGCATGTGAAGGCCGGCAGTTATGTGGTGGCGGTTGGGTTGGGTGGGACGGGGGGTGCGCTGGTTTCTGGGAACGCTGGAAACAATGGTGTTGATGGACAGAATTCATACTTTGGGGGTTACGTTGCGATTGGCGGTGGTGGGGGTGGCACGGCCAATGATGCAACCGGGCAGTCGATTGTTGGTTTGAATGGTGGTTCAGGGGGCGGTACCCAACGAAATGCGCCTTCAAACAATGGTGGTTTAGGACTACAGCCTTCCTCTGCAAGTGGGGGATACGGAAACAACGGCGGGAGCTGTTCGACAACCAATTACAACGGAGGAGGCGGCGGTGGGGCCGGTGGGGTCGGAACCGATGCCACGGGCACGTACTGTGGTGAGGGTGGACCAGGAATGCCATTTTCGATAACAGGGGTGTCGATTCTTTACGCGGGTGGTGGGGGTGGTGGTAGCGATGCGTCATGCACCTCGGGAGGCCTCGGTGGGTCAGGCGGTGGCGGCAATTCCGCGTATGCAACGGGTGGGAATGCGGTTGCTGGCACGGTGGGTACCGGTGGGGGTGGTGGCAGCGGAACCTATGCATCCGATGGCACTGCGTACGCCGGCGCCGCCGGCGGTTCCGGCGTTGTGATCCTGAAGCTGAAGGACTGTTCTGCGTGCCCCAGCTCGCGGCCGTACTCTCCGCCTAATTCCACGAACGAGTGCTACTGCAAGGCGGTGCCATGCTTCCAGACGCCTTGCGGTGCGGACCAGGCGTACTCTATAGGCAGCGGGACGTGCAGCGCGTGTGGGGCAGGGACTGTGGCGGCGGCGGGGTCCACGGATATGTACGGGGATGGCGGTTGTCAGGCTGTGAACACTTGCCCAGAAAATATGTATTATGATCCCAAGGGTAGTGTGGTGACGGAGACATTTTCGTATACAGGTACTTTACAAAACTGGACTGTTCCCTTGGGTGTCACTGAGATCACGGCGTATATTTGGGGAGCAGGGGGTGCTGGCGGAGACCATAAAGATGTTTTGTACGGCGGTGGCGGTGGTGGATATGTGCAGTGCATGATAAAAGTACAACCTGGACAGGTATTGCAATTGCTTGTGGGTCAGGGAGGTCTCCGTTCAAGCGACCTTGTTGTTCTGAGGGCATGGATTGGTGGTGGCGACGGAAATGCTGGGATTTATTCTTCTGTACAACGTGTTGGTGGTGGTGGTGGTGGTGGTCTCAGTGGCATTTTTGAAAGTGTGCAATGGCTGTCCAGTAGTAACATATCATCGTTGTCGGTTCCATTCGTGATCGCTGGTAGTGGAGGCGGAGGCGGGGGTTACATATCGGGTTATGGCACGTCCACGGATCATGCTCAAATGCCAGGCGGAGGCGGTGGAGACGGTTTGTTGTGGGTAGATGGACTTGGCAGGGACGGTGGGTCAAATGGAGTGAAGGCTGGTGGAGGAGGTGGAGAATTTGGTGGCGGGGTGGGTGGAATCGCATCTGATGGAAATGGATATCCGGGAAGGAAGTTTCACGGTGGCAATGCCAACGACTGGGGCGATGGAGGTGGTGCTGGATGGTATGGAGGTGGTGGTACGGGATGGGATGGTGGAGAAAATTATGGAGGTGGTGGAGGTTCCTCATATTGGGGTCACCAAAACGTTACCCTGATTCAACAAATCCCGGGAGGGAGTGGTGTGTCTGGAGGTATAGGACCTGGTGCAAGGGCTACAGTGGGTTTCGGACTACCAAACGGAGTCGGTGATGGTGGGTATGATGCAAATGGTACTCATGGCTTTATCGCCATTCAATACACACCATGCAGTGCGTGCCCCTCGACAGCCCCGTACGCACCTGCTGGCTCCACTGGCGAATGCTCCTGCAGCTCTACCCCCTGCTACCCAACCGCATGCCCCGCGAACCAAATCTACGACGTCTCCACGGCTTCCTGCCAGCAGTGCCCGGCGGGGACGGTGGCGCCGTCGTACAAGCCTTCGAACGGTCAGAAAGGAATTCTGAGTTTTCCTTCGATCTTAGAGAACGGGGCATTTGGAACCCCACAGCCTGTGTCTGGAGCAGTCGATGAGTATTACTACAAGTTCACAAGCGCGGGTGTCAGCTCTATCTCATTTCCGGTGGATACCGTGTGCGATGTGTTCATGATCGGTGGAGGGGCAGGTGGTGGTGAGAATGGAGGTGGAGGCGGGGGTGCAGGGGGCTTCTGGAATGGAACTATTGTGTTGAAGGGTGGGCAGTCATATGATGTCATGGTGGGTGCTGGTGGGAATGGTGGGAAGAAGACCACGCCTTATGTCGCACCAGGGAATGGAGGGGACACATACATCCAGCTTTCGGGCGCATCCGGCTATGTCAAGCGGGTTCGAGGTGGTGGCGCTGGAGGCGGGAGTTCCACTTCGGCGAACTCCGGTGGGACGGCAGGAGCTAGCGGAGGGTGTGGCGGCGGTGCTTTCGGATATGACGGGAACATGGACAGCACTTTCCGGGTGTTCGCACCAGGCTTTGCGATCGATGTCGGGTATGACAGTTTTGGCAACGATGGTGGTTATGGTTTCGAGTGTGGAACTTGTTCGACGGCCTTTCTGAACGGGGGTGGAGGCGGTGGAATCAGTGGTAGAGGCTTGAACGCTTCGGCGACTGCTGTAGTGGCTGGTGATGGTGGTGATGGTTTGGTTGTGACTCTTGTGGGGGTAGAGGAGGTTTATGGTGGTGGAGGTGGTGGGGCTGCTTGGCCGAGTAGTGGGAACGTACCAGGGATTGGGGGTGGGGCTTTCTTGTTGAATGGTGTCAAGGTCCGCGCTGGTGGAGACGGCGGTGGCAACACTGTCGGGCCGACAGTTGCGCAGGCGAATACGGGGTCTGGTGGTGGGGCCGGGAGTTCCTCGCTTTCCAATCTTGACGGTGGTGACGGGAGCGCGGGCGCTGTGATCTTCAGGTTTCGGCAGAGTGGTTGTGATGCTCCAGGGCCTTGTGGGGAGAACCTTTACGGGGTTGGAGACGTTACTGCTTTGAGAAACCCCACGGATGTCGCTTATACCTTGGTTGACGTGACTCCTTCGCCCGGCTCTGTGATCACTGCCCCGACCATCACCAGCGCCGGGAGCGCGGCCAGCGTGACGCAGATCGCTGGGAAGGAGGAGTACTACTACAAGTTCACGAGCACGACGGGGACCAATACATTCTCGTTTCCCCAGGATACGGAGTGTGAGGTGTTTATGATTGGTGGTGGAGGAGCTGGAGGTGGTGGATATGGTGGCGGTGGAGGGGCTGGTGCGTACTGGAGTGGGGTTTTCACGTTTGCAGCTGGGCAGCTTTACACTGTTAGCGTTGGGGCTGGTGGTGCTGCATCTGCCACTCCACCCAATGGTGGTGACACCACCTTGTCTTTGGGTAGTTCCACGTTGAAGAAAGTATATGGCGGTGGCGCGGGTGGTTATGGAATTGCTCATGGTGGCACCTTTCTATTGCCCAAGCCAGGGGGTTGTGGTGGTGGTGCTGCTGGATTTCAGCCGGTCCATCAAAGTGCCAATGGCAATTTTTCGATTTCCGTGGGTCAGGATGGTACGGGGAACAATGGAGGTTCTGGAAATTGGGATGGTACCACGATCCTGTCTGGTGGGGGTGGAGGCATTGGCTCACCTGGTGGGAATTCCAACCTTGGGCAGAGTCGAGAGAGCAGTTACTTTGTTGGTACGGCTGCCGGTCGAGGGGGTGATGCAATTGTAATCTCTATCACTGGCACTGACGAAGTCTATGGTGGGGGTGGAGCTGGTAGTGCCTGGAGTAACAATGGTGGGGTGCTGAATGAGGCTGGTGGGGCTTTGTTGAACGGTGTATGGGTGACCGTCGGTGGTGTTGGGAGAAATACGGTATCCGGTGCTACAAGAACGGGGGGTGCTGCAACGGCGAATACTGGTTCGGGGGGTGGGGGTGGCTCAGCAGATGCATTTGGCAATACAGTAATAGGTGGGAATGGTGCAGCTGGGGTCCTTATCCTGAAGTACCCTCCCAAATTTGGTGTACTGCGGGGAGGGTTTGTTGTTGGGTCAGCTTTGTACTTTTGTGATTTTTCGGGGTCGTCCGTCAAAGAAATGAATGTTACAAATGGAGACACGCGCATAATCTACGACTCCAGCCCGTCGGCACCCAATGACCTGAAGCAGATTGATGCGGCCAACATGGTGGTGGTTTACTTGACGGGTCACTTCGTTGATATTATGAGTATGCCGAATGCTACTGGACAGGTCTCACTGGTTGCAAGAGTTGGTGAGCCACGTACGCCGACTCCACCGAACACGACAGTTGACGGCGTGGGATCTTCTGCGAGGTTTGAGAGACCAACTTCGGCTGCGTACAGTTTGGCCCTGAACAAAATTTATGTCTTAGAATATAATGGGTACATTTCAACAATCAACTACGACGGCGTTTATGCCAAGACCACGATTGCGAGGCTGTACAACTGCATTGGTGACAATCACATCATAATGAATGATGCCGGTACGGAGGCTTATGTTTCTTGCTTCAACCAGCACTACATCAAGAAGATCGTGTTGAGCAGCCTCGTGGAAAGTGTATTCCTGGGGACTCCAGGGACCTCAGGGAATGTGCAGGGGACGAGTCTTCAATCGAGTCAGATTCTACTCAACTTTCCTCGGAAGATCTTGTTTTCACCAAACTACAAAAATCTTCTCATCACAGAAGCTGGTAACACAGGCATCAAATCTGTGGATTTGAACAATGGAAATGTGTATTCAATCATGGTGTCGAGTTATCAACCGGTGGCCTTGGCGTTCTCGAGTGACTTCACTTCTTTATATTATTCAGCATCAATGGAGACGATCAGTGTAGCGCAGATCGACGCCTGTTCTACCTGCCCATCGACGACTCCTTATTCATCAATCGGTTCCACGAGCCAATGCTACTGCACCAAGTGCCAGCCCGGCTTCATCGAGGTGAATGGATTATGCGTAGCCCCCTGCAACTCATCCCAGATCTACAACATGGGCACCGGGAAGTGCGAGTTGTGCAGCCTTGGAAGCTACAAGTCGAGCTCAACCCAGTGCTCACCCTGCCCCCTGGGCACGTACGGCTGGATGACGGGTGGGTCCGGGATTGAGAGCTGCAGGACCTGTCAAGCGGGGTACTTTGGGAACACGACGGGGGCCACGAGGTGCTTTGAGTGCGGGGTTGGGCATTACTCCACGGCCGGCTCGAGCGGTTGCACGGCGTGCCCCGACGGCACCTTCTCCACCAACCCGGGCTCGCCCTCCCTGTCCAGCTGCGCGGCCTGCCCTCAGAATTACTGGTGCGCCAACGGGATGATGTGGGCCTGCCCGTCCAACTCTGCATCGAGCGCAGGTTCGAGCAACATCTACGCGTGCAACTGCGACGAGGGGTACTTCAGGTACGACAAGAACAGCTGCGTCCTCTGTCCCAAGGGGAGCTACTGCCCAAGGGTGTGCCCCAAGTGAATGCAGAGGAGTGAGAATTATTGAGCCAGTTAGAGCATTTTAGAGTTTAGATGCAGATCATCACATTCTTCGGGAAAGCATTAAAAAAATCCTTGATATACCTCGGGTCGCTGTCGAAACCATTCCCCTGAAAGCTCACCGTGACCCTTCCCGGTTGCTCCCTCATGCTGAACCCCTCCAGAATCGAGAGAACACACGACTGCACCCTCACCGCAAAGTGCATGTCCACGTGATCCAGCCCGAGCTCCTGGCAACCCGGTCAGTCCCCCACCCCGCCCCGCGCGACAAAGCTATGGATCACCCCGAGCCTCGTGAAACCAGTCAACGACCTCCCCAGCATGAGGCTGAGCCAGTACGTCGTGTCGTTCTGCTCCAGCGCACCGTTGTGCGCAAAGTCCATCACCTCCACCGTGTCCCCGTTCACACAGGCCATCAGGTCCACCAGCTTGTACAGCGTCCTCGTGCTCAGAAGGCATTTCACCATCCTCAGCGTCACCAGGTCCTTGAACACGGACCTGCACGTGGTGCCGACCTGCCGGTTCAGGTTGTAGAGGGGATTCTTGGAGACGTTCAGGTGCCTCAGCGACTTGACGTCCCTGAGCCAGAACAGGCTCTGCAGGCAGTTCTTCGACAGGTCCAGGTCCGTCAGCCCGGTGTTCCTCTGCACCACCGCCCTCAGGTCGTCCTTCCTCTCCGGGACCGAAAGGTTGTTGGTGATATGAAGCTCCGTCAGGCTCGTCAGCCTCAGAAGCCCATACAGAAGCTTCCCCCGCGTGCTCTGGGATAGCTCCAGGCTGCGGAACGAGAGACTCCTCAGCCTCGTCAGCCCCTCGAACAGAAAGACGTCCATCGACTCCACCCTGCTCTTCCCCGTGTCCGGCACGTTCACCAGCCTCAGCCCCTCAAGGCACCAACGGCTCTCGAAGAGGATGCCGTTCAGCACGCAGGCGTCCCAGGCCGTCATTGCCTCCAGGTCCAGCCTCCTCAGCCTCCAGTACCCCGTCAGCGGCATAGGCCACAGCTCGGGATCCCCCATCGAACGCCTCACCACCAGCTCCGTCGGCCCCCTCACGCACGGCTGCTCGAGGTACCTGCACACCCTCAGCAGAGCCTCCCTGAAGCCCTCATCTTCCCCCACTTGCGAGGGGTCGATGGTCATGCTGAAGCTCCCCGCATCCGACATCACACCCATCCCCCTCATCCACCTCGAAGCATCCCCAGCCACCGCCGGCCTCAGCCTCACGCTCAGCTCCCACCGGTTCCCGGGGCACCGGATGCTCGCCTCTGCCAGCCTCCTCGTCTTCTTGCACGTGCTCAGCGCCTGGAAGTACATCGTTCTGGGCCAGATCTCGTGCTCGAACCACGCAGGCGTGTCCAGCACGTCCGTGATCGGCATGGCAGCGACAGGGCCACAGTCCACCGCCCCCTCCCCGAATGCCCCGCGTGGCTCCCTGCACCCCAAACCTTTTTGTTCTTTTTTCAATGAAACAAAACAAAATGAAGCCTTTGGTTTTGTTTGTTTACCTCTCTCTCTCTTCTAAAAAACACTCGAAACCATGCCCGCCCCAGAACATCTGATGCCCTCGGATTGTGGAATCCAACCCCGACAGAGCACAGCGCCTATATATGTCCACACCTTCAACCCACGCCTGCGAACCCCGATGTTTCCGTACCGCATCCGCAGGATCGGACTCACACCTCCCCTTGCGCAGAACATCCTGGCCCTCCTCTGCCTCCTGCTGCATGCCGGCCTCTCGGGTGGCAACCACGTGGTGATCGGAGGCATAGGGTACAAAGTCTTCTCCGGCACGGTCAGCCCCACCGGCACCTTCGACATCACCTCCCCGTGGCAGCAGAACGTCGACCACGTCGTCTCCTTCCTCCAGCAGCACGGATGTCTCCTCGTCCAACCCTCCACATACCCCTGCTCGTACTCTGGGTGTGACTATTACAGCGTCATGCAGCTTCCCAACAGCAGCTACCTGGTAAAACCCAACCCACCTCGCACCTCCGCAAACCCCGCCGCCCATGATCCCTTGCTAACACCCGCCCCCGTGCCACCCAGGACCCGTGGATCGTCGACGTCAGCGACCCAAACGTTGGCTTCGTCTACATCAAGGGGGGCTGCTACCCCTGCTCCCAGTCATGCAACGGCACCGAAGTCTACCAGAACGCCACCTGCTCCTCTACCTCCGACATATCCTGCAGCCCCTGCACCCAATGCCCCAACGGCACATTCGAGACCTCGCCATGCGGAGGCGGCAACGGCACCACCGACCGCGCCTGCAAGACCTGCACCGAGTGCGGCCCCAGCGAGTATGAGGTGACCCCACACCCGACCCTCGATCATTGACCCGCAACTGACCAGGAGCACTGATCCCCCCAGGTCTCTCCCTGCAACACCACACACGACCGCGTCTGCAGGGCCTGCGAGCTTGGGTACTACTGCTACAAGGCCAACAAGTACCCATGCCCCCAGAACTCCGTGCCTGTCCAGAATGGCGTCGGCGTCGACGCGTGCCTCTGCAACCAGGGCCTCTACCGCTTCAACCCAAGCACCTGCTCGGTCTGCCCGGACAAGACCGCATGCCCCGACCTCTGCCCCGGATTCTGACCCCAGTTCAAAAGCCATCCCAACAAAACTTTCCAAAAGCAGACCAAAAGAAGCAAAGAATTATCACCTCAGGAAGTAGAACCAGTCCGCCACTGTCCCGCACTCATCCTCCTGCATGAGCACACAGGCCACATGCATCACCCTCCTGAAGAACTCCTTGAGCCTCTTCGCACCCTCCTCCTCCAAACCATCCTCCCTGAGAAGCTTCCTCCCGTACGCGAAGAAGCCCTTCCTCACCGTCGCCTCCCCCTCGCTCGACCCCACCGTCACGAAGACGACGTCGTGCTCCACATCCATCACCGAAGACAACCTCTTCATGTCCTCGCAGTAAAGGCTCTTGTCGAACTCCACCATGCCAAAGTCCACCCCCGTCATCGCAGCAACCCACTTCAGCCTCCGGCTCGCATAGCACTGGTCCGACCACAAGTCCGCCCCTGAGCCACCACTGCCCCCACTGCCCCCACTGCCCCCACTGCCCCCATGGCACGAATGGCACCCCAAGAGCCTCTCATGGCACCCGTCCTTCATGCTCCTCCAGATCCTCGTCAGCCTCTTCGTGTTGTAGATCATCCAGAACATCGCCTGCCTCTCCACCTTCCTCGAAGCATCAAATTCCTCCCTCATCTCCCTCATCTCCTCGTCCCTCCTCGCATGCTCCCACTCGATCATCACCCCGCACGCCCTCGCCAGGTCCGTCATCCTCATAACTCCCTCGCACAACCCCTCGGAAAACCCCCTCGACTGATGTACCAATCGGGCCCACCGCATGTCGTTCACATCGCGTCCCAAAAAAAAAGGTTCAGATTTCCAGGTGTAATCAAAAACATAAAAAAGATTGAAACGAAAGAGAAAAAGAGAGAGATCGAAAGAGTCTCCCCAATCAAACAGAGCGCTTGATGTTCCCAAGGAACACCTCTCCCAAACGATATAGCTCCCAAACAGCCCTCTTCAAGACGAGGTTTCCTTCGCCCCCATTCACCCAAGAATCCAATCGTTGCCTCTCCCTCTCGGAGTTCAGGCGAATGATTGACCGTTCCAGTGCCCCGCTCGGAACCGCAACCTGTCCCAGAAGGCCCACTTTGACATGGTCGTACCAGTTACTCAGGTCATCCACCCACCTGAGCAGCCCCTCAGGCAACGCTTCAAGCTGCCGCACAGTGATCGCCAGCACCAGGTACCTCTTGATAGTCTTGAGCACGTTGATCTTATGGACAATGCCCTGAGTTCGCAGGGATTTTCCCATCAGAGTCCTCAAGGCATCCCGTCCCATCATTGCCATTCCGCCCTGTATGCGCGACTCCTCGTCGATCTTCTCCAGCACCAGGGACTCGGAGGCAGCAACGATCCTCTTCCTATCATCCTCCCCAGTGTCCAGTTGCTCCATCTTGAACACGAGTTTCCACAGCCCGCCCTCGAACGATCGGTCATCAAATCTACCATTTCTCAGCTGCCCTAGCGCCTCGTTCAAGCCGTTCACGAACCTCCTGCCGCATCGGCCGCACAAAACAATGTTCCCCCCCGACGCCCCTCCCGACCCACCTCGAGCAAGATTCATACAACAATCCCCGGTGAAAAACATAATTCATTTATATCAAACATCATTGTGACTTGCTACCTGTACGAGACCCAGTACCTCTCGATGTTCTTGACATACTTCGAGCCCCACGCGAAGAAACTCATCACAGCCCTCCTCAACACATCGTCGCTGTGAGCCACACTGGCACTCCAGCCCTGCAGGAGGTCCCTGCTCCGACGAGATCTCAATGTGTCAAGGGCTTGCCGCAACAGCACCATCGGTACACTCGTTCTCCCAAAAACACGACTCCATCTCAAAACGTCGTGCCATTCGGCAAGTTGATCGACCCAGTCAAGCAGCCCCTCCGGCAGCGCGTTGAACCCCCGCACCAACAGAGACAGCTCAAGATACCTCCTCACCCTCCTGAATATGTTCACCGTCCACCAGAATCTCGGCTCTCCTAGGACACCCTGCATCTCGGCCATGAAGGACTCCGACCTCGAAACCCGCTTCTGGACTCGGAACTCCTTCACCAACTTCTGCAGTACCAGAGATTCCGACTGCGAGACGATCCTCCCAAGGTCTTCCGCGTTGGACTCGTTCTCCATCTTGAAAACGATGTTGAATATGCCATCCTCGAAATCAGAGTCGTCGTCCTGGCCAAGCCTCAATTGTTCCAGGTATTCCTCCAGGTAGCCAAGGTACCCCCTTCCGCATCGGGCACATAGGAACGAACCCTCCCTCCCTTGCATGCGCAATGCGAAAAACTGCCTCCTTGGCCACGGGTTCATATATGCACACTTGCCGCTCAGCGACCTCAGGGTGGTGCGAACCCTTCAACTGCCAAGGCCAACGCCGACGCCGACGCCGACGCCCAACACAAACCCCTCCCCCGATGCACCATCGGCACAACCACAGACAGAAGCACCCTAGGCGCCATCCTCCCATTCCACTTGCTGCCCTTGAACCGCGCGGACGTGTACACCCACCGCCTCCTCACCCTGTTGAAGAACCGCGACACGACAGCACGCCCTGGCCCCACTACCTCACTCTTCACCCCAAGCTTCGATCCCTCCGATCCCTCCGATCCCTCCGATCCCGTCGATCCCCTCATCCCCAAGACGCAGGGACCACCCAACCTCCCGTGATGCCGCATGGAATCCCCCAGACACACCGATGTGTACTATGGACATCACGCGACCCACGACAATATATGCGCGGGAAAACCAAACCCCACCCAACCCGATGCCCCCCACGCCTCCATTGCCAACATCAACCCCATCGTCGTCGTCTCACTGATCCACCTCCACAACCCAATCCCCCGTGCCACCGATTCAATCAAACTCTACACCGCCGAGCTCGGGCATGACACGAGACTCGACATCGAGGTGATGACACACAACCACTCCCTGCCACCGGGCCGGCACAACAGGCCGATCCTGAAAGCTTCAATATCCATCTCCTTCGAAAACCAGACCTCCAACCCAAGGGCCGACCGTACACAGGAGAAGCCCCCCGATCTGAAAGAAAAACCGACCGAATCAAACAACACCGACACCTCACCCCTGCCCATCCATCACCCCATCCCCTTGAGACCGAAGAACCCAAACATATTCCGCTACTCCCCATCGCGGATCTTGGAATCCATCGATTGGAAGGACTTCAAAGACCCTTGCCCCACTCCGACCAAAGCCACGGCGGACAGGGTGCCCCCCGTGGAGCACGGCGTCTCCTCGTGAACAGAACCGGCAGTTCTATTTTTTCAAACGAAATCAAACAAAACAAATCCAAGAGTACCCCTCGCCTTGCTCCTTCCTCACTTGTCTCTTCTCTTCCTGTTGCCTCAATCCACCCCAGAGCGCTTGGGCCCCCTTTCTCCTCCTCTTCCCAACAACTGCAGCGACAAAGTGACAAAGTGACAAAGAAAACAAAAAGTCAGTCTTTGACAAAAGTGTCCGACCGATAGCCCAACAATCACAATCACCTTCCTCAGGCTCACGCATCACCATCGTGTCGGTGTCCAGCTTGTAGAACTCCTTCAAACACGTAGACACGGACATCACTTGGTCCCGGATCACCTTGATCCCACTGGACAGCGCAAAGTGGCAGCGGAAGTTCTCCTTCCATTCCGAGCACACAAATCAACAGGCCGCCCCCACAACACCCAACAAAGCGATTGCTCACCCGCTCGTATGACGACCCCGAATGTACGACGTGCGCGAGGAACACGATGCACTCCCCAACCCTCACATCCACGTCCCGCACGCAGGCCCCTGCCTCCACCAGCTCCCTGGCGAGCCTCCCCTCCCTCCCCTCCAGGAACCCCTCAAACCCCCCGCGCATGTCCGCCTCCGCAGCCCGGTGCGAGCCCGCCACGACCCTGAGCTTGCACCCCTCGAACATCGGCACGATCACCGACATGTCCGACGCCCTCCCCTGCAAATCCGGAGGGAGGTCGAAGTGGTAGTCCTGGTACCCACAGCCCGGCTTGCTGCACATCACCGAGGACTTGAGCAGGAAGTTCATCCCCAGGGCATGCAGCAGCGGGATCGTCTGTAGAAGCACGTTCCTCATCATGTCTGGCAGGAAGCCGTCCAGCACCTTCCGTTTGTGGTAGTCGTACCTGCCCGACCCAACCATCACTCGGCACCCCCAGCAAGAAGCCAACCCCCTCACACTGTCGCGATCGCCCTCTCCCGCTCGGAGCGGACCCCGCGCTCACAGTCGTCGATCTTCTGGAAAAGCATGTTGAAGCCCCTCTCCCCTCCAACACCTTGATTGGCATCCCGGAATATCTTCACGAGACCCTCCCTGTCGAGATCCGCAACCAACGTCCTCCCCGCCTTCCTGTGGAACAGCTCCGCCAGCCTCCGGGTGACGAATTCGTGCGCACTCGTCCCGTGCATCACATCCTTCCGACCCCCAACCAAGAACACCTCAGACCCCCGCGCACGGCATGCACGCAAACAAAACAAGAGAAATCGACTGACCTTCATCTTCACCACCACGTAGCCATCCCGCCAGAGAGCCTCTAGATGATGCCTCTGCTCGATCTCCACCGCGTCCTGAGTCATCCAACATCCCCTCAGCCCCCATCGAACCCATCACCACAAAAAACGACCCGATCGATCATCCTCTCGATGTTGACGAGATGCTCGCTCGGCGAAACGGGGGCATCCCGAGACGCTTCACCTGCCGCATGAATCACACAGACTCTCGATAACCAATATTCAAAGAGACAAATCAGGCTCACCTTGTCCTCAACCCCTTTGCTATGACCCCCCTCGCACCCCCTCCTTCCCTTGCTCTCCTCACGGGCCTTTTTCTTCAAAGCCTTGAGCTGATCCCGTTGAAGCGCAGCCGCGAACAAGCTCATCTCCAGCCTCTTCTTGTTCACCCCGCTCGCAGCAGCAGCCCCCACAACCCCCCCCGCGCCTCCAGCCCCAAGCATCCCTGATTCCTTCGGTCAACCCAACACAAACCTGAAAACATCGCCTCCAGACAACCCACACCCAGAAATTCACCCCCCAACCCACCAAGAAAACACCGAGCATCACCTCCCATGACAGACTCGGACCCTCCTGCGCGCCCTGCCGCCTGCTCGGCAACCTCCCTCCTCCCCTCTCCCTCCCGTCGCGATGTACCGTCCATCTGCCGCAATCAGCACCGGACCAAAGGGGAAAAAAAAGACAAACGTTCACGTGTAACGATCCGGCGGGCCGCAGAACCCCGATCGACCAGTCACTGGGGAATGGGGATCCGACACAGAAAGAAAAAAGCAACAGAAAAAAGACCCAACTCTCGCTCAGACCGATCCAAAGAAAAAAAACTCAAAACCAAACAAAAAAGACACAACCGGGATTTGACTCCCCATCGCTGCAAGCCACCCTTGATCCCCGTGCCATGCCGTTGCACTCCACCCATGCTCCAGACCTCAAGGATCATCTCGAGACGATCCGTCATGCAGCCTTCAGGGCGCTGTGCAACACCAAGGAGCTGCAGAAAATCATCCTCCATGGACAAATGGACGAGCTCTGCCCCTGCCCTGCCTGCTCCGAATCTGACCCATCCCTCGAACCCACCTGCAGCATGACCAACCTGCTCAGGAGCATCGCAAAGGCCGCCGAACTCGTCATCGCCTTCAAGAAGGTAGTCATCCGCCGCCCAGACAGCCTGATCGACGACACCAGCGTCAAGGACCTCAGGGAAGCCGGCTGCCTCGCTTTCGACCATAGCGATGCACACTTGGTCTGGGTCAACTTCGTTGTGGTCACAAACGGTGGTTGGGCCGACCCCGACTGCCACCAAGTGAGGCTCTGCCTGGGCAACTTGGTCTCTACCACCGAGGCACTCTCCCACCCCGAGGTGCTCAAGTACCTCCGCTTCTTTGAGCTCTGCCTGCACCACTTCCCCGAGAGGTATCAAGTAAAGGGCGTCCCGCCCATGCTCGAGCACCTCGTGCACGTTTGCCCCCGCCTGCATACCCTTTCCGACACTCTATGCCAGCAGGAGCAGAACCCTTGTGAATGCAGAGACCGTATTCCATGAACCAGTTTTTAAAAAAGTCAAAGAACTCTAATGAAAAAGCGCCCAGCGAAGGCTCTACACCGCGCCCGTGTCTGATGCAGTGGGTGCGGCTGCCTGAGCGGTGTGTTTGTCATCTGCAATCCGTTTGATATCTTCCTTCATCTCTTCAACGCTGTTCAGCAACTGCAACAATAGATCCTTCGTCGATTCCTCTACGTCAATCTCCGAGCCATCGTCACCCTCTCGCCTGCCTGCGAGGAGCGTGAGATACCCAGGAAAACAGCACACAGAGAACTCCGTCACTCACCCAACCCCCTTGCAAGCCTCGACAGCCCATACGAAGCACCCGCCGTCAACCCCGCACCAACCCCAGCCCCGACCCCGGTGGCCACGGCGTGCGACACGATCGACCCTGTCCTCCCCGTGTGCCCCCCCTTCCCCCCATGTCTACTGCAATGACGGCACAGGCTGTCCCGATAAGAGGCTTTCATGCAGATTGCCCACGCAAATAGGAATTGCTGCTTTATCTATTCAAAAATCTCAGCAAGTCAACTTGACCCCGATGTCACCCCTGCCCTTCCTGAGGTCCACCAACCCCTCGATCAGATCCAGGATGTTCATCTGGGCCTCTTCCAGGGCTTCGGTCACACCCCCCTCATGCCCCGATCTACCCTTCAACACCCGCCTCGTCACCTTCCTCCCATCCTCGATGTCCCGATGCACCAACGAAGCCCTCTCCCCAAGCTTCTCGAGGTAATCCTCGCAGCACTCCCTGCACACTCTCTTGCACCCCTTGAGCCAACCCACCTGCTCCCGGTGCATGCTCTCCACCTTGTCCACAAGCTCGTGCAGCCTCGAAGTCACCTTCTTCAACTGCCTCCTCGTCTCCTCGCTATACGTCAGGCAGTCCTGCAGACCCCGCGTGTTCCTTTGCACGCTCTCCATGAGATCCAGGAACGTCTGGTCGTTCAGGACCAGCTCTGGGGCCGATGGGCTCGGCGCAGGAAGGTCATCCCCCTCACCCACCTCAACCCCGCCTTTCCACCCGCTTATCCCGCCCTGTTCCTCCCCACCACCCTCCGTGCCAATCTCCGTCGGGATGTAATTCATCTCACGGAAAGCCTCAACCACTTCCGCATATATATCACACGGGTACACAAACAAAGACCCCCCCGGAACCCTGGCTACCCCGTAAACACTTTGCCATACATCTTCTTCACGACCTCCAACGACTGCTGGACCCTCGCGTGTTGCCTCTGGAACTCGGCCTGCTCGATCACACGCTGGCCCACGCTCACCTCCGGAAACAGAACCCGGAAAACCTTCGACTCAAAGAGCAGCTCCAAACCCATCAGGTTGTACCTCGCCCTCAGGTACATGCTCGACCGGTACCGGACAAGGTCCGCCCCCCTCCTCCACCCCCTCATGTGCTTCATGAGCACGTACTGCAGACTCAGCTGCACCAGCACCTTCTTCACGAACCTCAGCACGTCCGGCCCCCAGAACCCCGTCAGCATCCCAAGGCACTCCCCAAAGAACGCCCTGAGCGCCCTGCCCGTGTCCTGGTACACCTGGCTGTTCACAAAGGCCCTCGTCCGCTCCTCAATCCTCAGACCGTCCAGCCTGTACAGGACTTGAAGCCCTGCGTACCCTTGGATCTCGCGCTCAAGGCCATCCAGCCTGTCAGACAGGTCGCCAAGGCTCTCGCGGTACGCCTCCGCATACTGCTCCCAATCGCTGTGCTGTGGCATCTCGCCGCCGCTCCTCACCACTCCCATCAACATCTCCATGAAAGCATCCCAGAAGGCAAAGAACTTCCGCTCGAAATCCTCCTCCACCCCGACCTGCAATGAGGTCACCCTCTTCAGCTCTCGCCTGTCCCTCTCGGACGATTTCGTGCCCGACTTGATAGACATGTTGTCGAGCCACCTCGACATGTCCTCGTCCCTCGAATCCATCGCACCCTCCGTTCTTCCTCCATTCCCACCGCCGTTCCCATCATTTGACCTTCTCCAAACCTCTTCCACCCTGTCAACACCGCTCAACCCCACTTCGCTGCTCGGCGACACTCTGCCAGCCCCCACGTCCCTGTCAACACCGCCCGACACCGCTGGAGCGGGCGCCACCTCCACAACCGCCCCCGAGTTCAACCCCTCCCCACCCCTCCTAATACCCTGCCTAGCGTTTGATGACACCGACGAAACCTGACTCATCACCTCCTGCCCTCCCCCGACATTTCCCAGTCGCTTCGGATCCCTTGGACCAGCTGAACCCACAGGACCCCGCGGGATCTTGAAGAACGACGCCAGCTCATCCCTCGTCAACAACCCCACTGGAGGCAGGGACCTCAGAACCAAGGGCATCCCGCTATCCCTTGACCCCGCCTGTCTCTTCGGCACCACGGCAGACCCCTCCGTCACCAAAGCATCAATCCTCCGCCTTTTCCCCTCCTCCGCCCCGCCCTCTCCACCACCCTTCCTTCTCTTCTTTGCGCTCTTCAACTCCTTTCTCTCAAATGTCCCTCTGCGTTCGCCAACGTTGACATACTCCTTCATCCGGTCGAGCTCGTCCTGGATCGTCTTCTCCGTCCCACACCTCGCGCAGCAACGCTTCTCGGTCGAAACCGACATCTCACCACAAACCCGCAATTGACCACGGACTCCATTTTGACGTTTAAATACCAAATCCAAACACAATGACCTCGGAACACAAAAAACTCAGCCGGCATCAAGCCCCATGACCCTCCCCAGCACCCCGCGGACCGTAGAAAGCACCAGGGGGATGCTCGCCGTCATCGGACTGTCCGGCCTCGACCCAGCCATCATCAGACCGACGTACCTCAACAAAAGCTTCACCGACATCGAAAGGTAACAGAGGTTCACATCCCCGCCCTCCACCAACAACTCCACCACCCCAACCCCTCCCTGCACACCACCACGTTCGTCAGACCGGCACCGTGCGGGGCCACCACCAGATCCGCATCACGGAAGGACCTCAGCTGCCTCCCAACCGTCGAACTCCCATCCTCCACCACCGTCTCGCAAGGGAATGAACCCATCGCCCTCAACAGGTCGTCGTGGTTCCTCACAGATCTCCTGTGTGAAACCCTCCTCACCAGCAGGATCCTGCACTTCGCCGCCCCCTGCTGACATTGCCAACCCGCCTCAAGCCACCCCCGCCAAGCGCCCCACCCACCAGCGACCTCCTCAGAACCTGGAGGCTCACAAACGACGGGTTCCCACAATCCGTCGGCTGAGGAAAGATCAGCCTCGTCGCGAAAACACTCCCGTCCACCACCCTCGAGAGCCCAAAGTAGCCAACCAGCTCCGTCACGAACCCCGAGTGCGCCTCAAACGCATGCACCGCCGCATCCCTCCCGCACCCGGACGGCCCCTCCAAACTCCAGGAACTCCTTCGCCAGCGCCAACCGCACCAGACCCTCCCCCATGAAGTGGAAGTACCCCTGGCCCCTCGTGAGATATCACCACCACGCACTCATGCCGCGGAAGACCCCTCATGGCCTCCCCCGAAACCGACTGACGCTGCCCGCCCACCATGCAGCCCCCGGCCCGCAGGTACACCCCTCCCGCCTGCAGGTCCCCGTTGCCGTACACCAGCACCCCCCGCAGCACCCCACCCCCGGCCACGCCTCCCTCTTCCTCCCGGTCACCCCGTCGCGTGGACCATGGCTCGACAGCTCCTCCGCGGCTTGCACGTACCTCCCCGCTTGAACAGCGCGGAGAACGACCTGTACTCCTTGTTCCTCGACACCCCGATGTCCCCGATGACCTTCTCGGGGAACAGCCCCGCAAGCCCCTCCCCCCCTGCACCCCAGTGCCAAGCCGCCCTCTCCGTCCAGTTCCGGATCAGCCCCGCGTTCCCACCGTGCCCCGGGTTCCAGTGCCACACCTCCTCCCCAAGCCACTCAAGGCACCCTCCAAAGCTGGACCCGCACGATCCCGTGTCTACATATCTCGCCTTCGCGATGCCCACAGTCGAGTTCTCGCGATGTTCCCACGATCCTCGCCTGAACGTCTCGACCAGCGCCCCCGTCGAGGAATCGCCCCCGTCCACGCCCTCGAGAACCCCCGTGCTGTTCGACAGGCCTTCCGAGTTCAGATCCCTGGTCAGGAACCAGAACATGGCCGATTGCGTCATGCAGAACAGCGCCAGCACGGCGCGGCAGCCCCCGGCTTGCCTGCCTCGATGCTGCATACTCCGAAACCTCCACTGCTGCCACCCGCCCCCGACTCCCTCCCGTACTCTAGTACAAAAAGTGTTTTTTTATCAAACATATATCGGAACTCTGTCTTTACTTGAGGACAGAGGCGCCTCTCTACTGTCCCTGGAACGCAGATGCTGATCACCCCGCCCCCTCCGCACACCCTGCCTTCCGATCTCTGCCGCTTGTGCCCGCACATCCTCCCTGCCCCCCGTGAACGCAGATCTTCCTTCTCTTTGATGGAGGCTCCTCATGGGTCGACGGCACGCTCGCCATCGCCTCGTGTGAGGAGGAGAACTCCTCAATGTCAGGAGGGAAGTCCTCGGAAGACGACACAGGGCCTTGCGCCTGCATGACCTGGGCGTATGTCTCCACAACCACTTCCCCTCCGCACTCCCTGCACTTCGACCGCCTCCGCCCGTGCTCGCATATTTGGGACCCCCCGCACTCCTTGCACACCGCCCGCTCCCGCCCGTGCTCGCAGATGCTGCCCCCACCACATTCCCTGCACACCGACCGCCTCCGGCCGTGTCGGCAGACCTGTGACCCTCCACACTCCTTGCATGTAGCTCGGATACGCTTGTGCGGGCATATAGAAACCCCCCCGCACTCCTTGCAGTACGATCGCCTCCGCCCGTGCTCGCATACGTGCCGCCCCCCGCACTCCCTGCATCCAGACCGCTGGCGGCCGTGTTGGCAGACCTGCGACCCCCCACACTCCCTGCATGTGACTCGGATACGGCCGTGCTCGCAGATGCTGCCCCCGCCGCACTCCTTGCAATTGGATCGTGCGCGGGCATGCACGCATATGCAGGACCCCCCGCACTCCTTGCACACCGATCGCAGACGGCCGTGGGGGCATCTGCTGCCTCCCCCACACTCCTTGCATTGTGATCGCCTCCGGCCGTGCTCGCAGATGCTGCCCCCCCCGCACTCCTTGCATATGGATCGCCTGCGCTTGTGCTCACACTTTGTCCCCGTGTAGCATCCCGCCACCTTGCACCTCGACCGTGCACTCCCGTGAACGCAGATCCTCCTTGTCTTTGATAAAGGCTCCTCCTGCGTCGACGGCACGCTCGTCATCGTCTCGTTTGAGTCGGGTGAGCACGCAGGACCTTCCGCCTGTATGCACTGGGCGTATGTCTGCACAACCACTTGCCCGACGCACTCCCTGCACCTCGAACGCCTCCGGCCGTGCTCGCAGATGCTGCCCCCCCCGCACTCCTTGCATCTGTACCGGTGACGGCCGTGTTGGCAGACCTGTGACCCCCCGCACTCCCTGCACACCGACCGGTTGTGCGGGCATATAGAGCCCCCCTTGCACTCCTTGCAGTATGATCGGATACGGCCGTGTGGGCATATTGAGGCCCCCCCGCACTCCTTGCAGTATGATCGGATACGGCCGTGTGGGCATATTGAGGCCCCCCCGCACTCCCTGCATATAGCTCGGATGCGGCCGTGCGAGCATATTGAGGACCCCCCGCACTCTTTGCACAGCGATCGGTTGCGCCTGTGCTCGCACAGCTTCCCCGTGTAGCATCCCGCCACTTTGCACTTCGATCGTGCGCTCCCGTGAACGCAGGGCTTCCTTGTCTTTGATGAAGGCTTCTCTTGGGTCGACGGCACGCTCGTCATCGTCTCATCCGGAGAGGAGAACTCCTCAATGTCGAGTGGGAAGTCTTCCGTCTGCATGGTTCGGATGTCTCCTCTGACGCTCAAACAAAAAAAAAACGTTTTCTTCCGGATTGCCTTCAGAAACACAAAAAAACAGAGTCCAAAACCGGAAAAAAAACTCACCCGTCCCCCAGAAAATCAAGCCAACGACCGCCTCCGCCATCCCCCATCCCACCATCACACCGCCAAAGCCATGAGCCCAAAGAATGAGCTCGACTCAAAGCATAGCATTGCCTGCATGATCTTTAAGGCATTGTCATCGCAGTGGGACAAGTTCACCAGCGACCACATCGATCTCACTCTCCTGACCGAACAAGACATTGGTGAGATCCAGGTCCTCCTATCCTTCACCCTTGACTTCCTCAACCAACATTCTGACGACATCAAGGACTTTGAGATCGCAAGGGAATCCCTCAATTGCAAGGATGAATACCCATCGATATACAAGAAACTCGACGAAATCTGCAACCTCATCCAACAGTGCATCGCCTCCCGCCTCCTGTCGGAACTAGACAAACCCCTCATTGCCCAGCTGCACAGATTCGTCTCCATCACCTTCGACATCCAGAGGCACATCTTCCAGTACTCTGATTTGTGACGATTTTATTTGAAATAGATTTCACCCACACACCCTCTTGTTCCTCCGTTTGGAGATCCTGTCGCACATCTTCCCTCTCGTGTCGTCCCCCGCTGCCCTCACCACGAACGATTCGTCCCACCAAAAGTCGTCGGGGAGTGGGAACGAGCCTCTCACACCGTCCTTGGGTAAAGAGGATACGTGGACCAGCCACCTCGACATGGCTGCAGGGATCACGGGCATCGAGCTGCCGGTGGAGACCAGGACGTCGGCGGACAGCATCGCCCGGATGGACTCCATGGGGTCTTGGAGCAGGGCGACGGAGCAGTTGTACTCTCTGTCCCGGCCGCAGAGCCTGTCGAGGCAACCCTGATCCGGTGGGGGTGCCTGCAGGGTGTAGAGGGCTCGGACACAGGTCGAGAGGACGGTCGCCAGGTCTCGCAGCATCCTCTTGGCCAGGGGTGGGTCCCCCTGGCACCCCGTCGAGAGGTCGCCTGTGCGCACGTGGACCACGACGGAGACGCACGAGCTGTCCCCCGAGGGCATCGCCCAATGCCTGTGGCCTCGGCCTGCCTCGGTCAGCTCGAAGCGCGGTCGTATGAAATCGGAGAGAACGCGATAGGCCCCGTTCGGCAGCATCAGGCACGAGGGGCCCCCCAAGCAGCATGTGTCGCAGGACCGGAAAAGGACGTTGCAGAGCCCCCTCTTGTCGTCGATCTCCGATTCGTCGTCCCAGTGCGCTATCGAGACCTCCCGGATCCCGGGCATGGTCTTGACAACGGTGTCCGGCTCCATGACATCGAGGAGGTTTGCGAACGCGGGGATGCCGCCGTACCCGCCGTGCGACCCCGGAACCTGGAACTTCGAGACCTCAAAGACCGGTGTGGCGTTGAGCGACCTGGCAAACAGGAGAGATAGCCCAAGGTCCCCCATGCGGTGGCCCAGCCCACACAGGGTGCAATGCCCTATGAACGCGAATCGGGGACATGGGCTTGCGGCGACGGGCTCGCCCTTGCCGAGTCGCTCCTTCCTGCAGCTCGCTCGGTCACCGTGTCAGACAACAGGGCGGGGGGTGTACCGGAAGACATGCACCCGCTGGCCCCCATCGGAAGCTCGCCACTCTTGTTGCCAGTTGGCGGTCAGGTGTGGGAACATGACGGGCCCGTACTTGCGATGCAGGTTGAACTCAATGCCTGTGGAAACGTCGGTCAGCGATCGGCACGAGGGACGAGGGCGGGTGTCAGACCGTCGTGGCCGTTACCCACTCCCAGCAGCATCTGCCCCCCTTCCCTGCATATGCACCATGCCTTGGCGATGGCCTGCAAATCCCCGAAGGGGTTGAGATCGTCCCCATACCGCCCGAGGCCGCTGTGCTCCACCGATGAGAACGTGACGACGGCGTCGAACGGCCCCAGCCTGCCCCGCTGGAAAAGGTCGAATGCCTCAGCGGGGGTCACCGTGCCCACCCTTGGGTGCCTGCTGTGGATCTTCCCGTACTCTAGCGTGGTCACTCGCTTCGCGCCGGCGGCCAGAACGCAGGCTTCCACCCAGGGGTTCTCGGACCCCAGCACCAGCACGTGGCCCCCCTTCACGGTTCGGTTCATCTGCATCAGCCCCTGCATCACGTGCTTGGTCTCAGACACGCCGTAGTTCCCCGGCTGCGTGCCCTGCCTGCACTGCTCCGCCCACCCGTCGATCACCGACTCCTCCCACACCGGGAGCCTGGCGTCGCCGCTGTGGTATTGCTGGTTCAACATCTCCGAGGGCTGAAACCTCACCCTCCCCCGGTACGTGAAGAAGGGCATCAGCTCCGGGGGGATGTGAGGGGCTGGGCCCACGGGACGCGAGCGGTCGGAGTGCCGGTTGGAAGAGCGAGGGCCTGCCCTTCATGTCCGTGTCGCATATCTCCCCGCAGCCATCGGTGAGCTGCAGCAGCCTCTCCCTGTACCCTCCCCCGATGCTCGTGATTCTCTGGCGCAATCTGCTGCCCCCCTGCGAGCCCCGGTCGTGCTCTGCCGTCGATGCCCCGGTCGGGATGAGGGGCTCCTTCTCAGAGCCTTTGCTCGGCTTCAAAGGTTCGGATTTGGGGCTCGCCAGCTTCGCCGGGTAGTCCGGGTGCTTTGGCGGGTCAGCTGGCAGCTTGAAGAGCAGGACTGTGCAAAAGCATAGCAGCGCGCAGGTCGTCAGGGCCAATACAGCAGCCCCCAGCCTATTCATGTGTCTTTGTACAAAGTCGGGGATGGGATGCAGGGCCCTCTGGCACAAATCTTTCTTTTTTTTTCTTGTGTAATATTCTCCCAAAACAAAATCTCCGTTCGTTCGTTCACTCTCTCAAGGCACACCGCACTCTCTCGGTCAGAGCTCGCTGCTACACACTACAGCTCTCGCATGATAGTCACGACCATCCTCCATCGCACCGATTCGTCATATCGCATTCAAAAGATTCAACAGGTCCTCGTCCTCGTAGCCCCCAATCCCATGCGCACCGGCATGGCAGAAGTAGCACGAGGCACAGCAGATCGACAGTCCCCCATGCGCGAGGCACGTCTCTTTCTTGCAGACGAGAATCTTCCCTTTCTTCACCCCGCACAAACCTTCCCACGGTCCCCCAGCGTGCTGCTGTGCACCCAATCCACGAGGTCATACATACCAAAACAGTCCACCCGCAGATCAATGCAGAGCTCCGTGATGGCCTCCATCAGCAGCAGCTTGATCTGACTGATCTGCGCACCCATCCCCAGTCAACGATCTCCCTCTGCACTGGCCACTGCAAAAGCGACGAAAAAACACACCTCCAGGGCCATGGTCTCCAGCGACCATGCCAACGGATTCATCGGTGCTTTGGAATCACCCGAATCCTCGGCGCCACCCCTGTGCTTCTCCAGGTACCTTCCACACCCGTCAGAACACAACATCGATGGATACCAGCAGTCGATCCACACCCTCCCTTCATCATGCACTTGTTGATGACGGATGTCAGCGCGACCTGACCATCCCAGTCAGCGAAACAACGAGGGAGATTGAAGAAGCATCTTGTCCCCACATCCAAGAGCCTCTTCTCCTCAGTCAACGCGTGGTTCTGCGAGATCAACTCCCTCGTCGAGTCGTGAAGGATTTTGCACCTCCTCTCCCGATCGTTCACCCTCTGGCTCAGGCTCTTGATGATTTCCTTCATCCTCTTCTGTTTCACGCCCCACGCACGCCCCGCAAAGAGACGTAAACACAGCACAGTCAGCCACAAAACCGAGAAGAGAGATCTCCATACCTCCTGCCTCTCCAGCTGCGAAACCCTCCCTCGCAGATCCTCCATCAGCCTCTCGATCTCCGAATTCTTGTGAACAAGAGAGTTGTTGATGGCCAGAAGATCTGAATGCTGTGCCTCCAACGAGATCTTCTCCCCCTTATGCTTCTGGTTCTGAAACGTCACAGACTCCAGCTGCCTCTGCGCTTCACGTAGCAACCTCTCCAGCTCCTTCGACTCCCTCGACCCCCTCTCGACGCTCTGCTTATATTCATCCTCCTGCTTCCTCAAAGCCTCCCTCAACGCGCAGTTGCTCCTCCGCTCCCCCGTCAACTCCTCCCGCACGCCCTCGAGCTCCCCCTCCCTCGCCGCCAAACACTCCATCACCCCCTTCAACACCTCATCCCCCTTCGACCCCTCATTCATCCTCGCCTCCTCATGACGGCGAAGCTCCTCCCGCGTCCCCTCGAGCTCCCTCTCCCTCACCGCCAGGCATTCCTGCATCCCCTCACCCAGCCCAACGCAGCCTCCCCGCACCTGAACGTGCTCGTCGAAATCAGACAGCAGTTGATCGAACTGCCGCTGCAACTCGACGATCTGCTGGTCTCGCTCGTACACCGCCTGCTGCAGACTGCCCACGTGCCCCCTCAGCATCACATTCTCCTGAAGGATCATCTCAAGGTGCATCTCCATCTCCATGGTACACTCAAGCATCCGCTTCCGCTCGCCTCCTCTCCCGTGAAAGCTGCCCCACTCCTTCACTGTCCCCAAAAAAAAACGAGCGTAACTTTGCAAAAAAAACAAAACAAAAAAAAGCATAAATGTACCCTTTTTTTTTCTCCACGACCGGGCGTTACCGGACACGGGAACGTTACAACCCCTCCCCTTCCTTCAGTCAGACATGCCAACACCCAAAAAACATGCCTTCACCTCCTATCCTTTCTACTCCAGTTCCTCCCGCGCATCGTATGACAGCCACTCGTCCGACAGCCACTCGACATTCGACGACGATGCCACCTCGACCACAGCCATCAGTGGCCGATCAACACAGTACCCCCTGAACACCATGTATCTCAATCACCCCGCCTATACCGACCAAACCAGGTTTCACATCCACTACCACTACCCGGGCTCGGACAACTTCCAACCAGACAAGAGTGGTGTATCAGGCTGCATCTGTGGGTTCCTTGAAATCCTTCTGTGCCTGCCATGCATCAAGGGAGTCCTCGACGGTTTCTGCGAGGTGTGCTGCAACCTCCGGTAGCTCCCCAAGCAAAAAAAAAAAGCAAACTCCCCGGATCCCTGAAGAGCACAAATCAAGACCCAGCCGCCATGAATCTCCGCGCCATACACCTCGGGATGTGGAAGAAGCGTTCAAAGTCCATCATGCCCCAAGTCACAGTCGGGCTGGTAGCTGCCTTCCTTCTCTTCAACATCTTCGAAAATGCCCAACCCCCTCCAAAATCACAGGCACAGGAGGGCACCTTGGTAGAGTCCAACAGCTCATGGGACCAAAACACCGTCCAGGGACGAGCCAACCGCATGAAAGAACCCCCCGCCACGCAGGACGGACCCCCCCACCTCATGGTGCACAGGATGACAGCCGGCCGCCCCCCTGACACATACATGTGGCAGACCGCTTTCGCCTCCGACTTCCACGGGAACCGTGTCGTCATCCTCACGGATGCAACCACCGCATTCCAACACGCGGGTTCCCCCGGCGCTGAGTTCGTGGACATGGATGCCCTCGTCGAAAGGCAGGCGGAAGTCTTCGAGATGCTCCGAACCTTCAGGCAGTCCTATAAGCCATGGGGGCTCAAGGAGCCATGGGAGCGGGAGAACATCGAGAGGTTCTTCTACATCGCTGCATTCGCCCTCGACCGCCATCTCCAAAGGGTCTTCTACACCGACACCGACGTGGCGCTCCTCACCCGTGTCAGCGACCTGAAACTGCCCAAGTCTTGCGACTACCTCGTCAGCATCCCCAAGCAAACATTCGAGAGCTACTTCTGGGTGGTCTGGGCCGGGACTGCGCTGCTCGATCAGCAGGTCCTCATGCAATTCCTCCGCTTCGTCCTCCGAATCTATAGCAGCCCCCAGGTCATGGCGCTCTTGACAACCAAGGAGCGGATCGCCCCGTACGTCTGCGACATGTCCCTCTGGTTCCTCTTCGCCATCTCCGCAGACCCAGGGCTCGCCTCGCTCGTCTCGTCCCCCGCCTCACTGCCGCTCCCCAAGCCCGCCAACCGATCCAGGGCCTGTGACCTGGTAGCCCTCGGGTTCGACCACATGCATGCACACACGCGCAAGGGGTTCGTGCTCGACCGGGATACATTGACGGCCTGGGATTCCGAGCAAAAGGAGAGGAAGAGGATCAAAAGCGTTCACTTCCAAGGTAGCGCCAAAGGCTTTGCATCGGTCCTCGTCGAGGCCAAACCCACACAGTTTCACGCCTTCAGGTCTGTGTTGGCCAAACGGCAGAGATTTTGATCTCCTGCCTCACAAAAAAAGATCGGAAACAAGACCAGTGCCAACCACCCCCGTGCATCGCTCCAGCGCGCTCTCAGAATGAAGTTCGCCACCCCGATCTACCCCTTCCTTCTCTCCCCCATCCTGGTTGTGGCATACCTCTTTTGGGGACATCACCACGTGGGCAGCCCCTGCACGCAACCCAAGCCCACAGCACACACCAAAACCGACTGGATCCAGCACTGGAAGCAAAACCCCCCTTGCTCAGACACCGAACTGCGAAACAACGCCCTCGCCCTCAGATCCTCACCCACCAATTGCCCCACTGAGAGGTGGTACTGGGACTGGCAGTCCAAGAAAAGCTCACACGCCTTTGTGTACATTGAGATCGGTTGCAATAAAGGGACCGACGCCATCACAAACGTGCGGGCGTACACCGGAGACCCATCCGTCGATGTCGTCTCATGGATGAAGCACATCCAAATGGGCAGCACCGCATGCCCCATGGACATGGCGCTCTGGGACCGCATCAAGAGAGCCGGCAGGAAGACAGTGAATTATCTCACTACTGCATCGATGCCGCACGAGAGAATGCGGCCCCCGTAGAAAAGCTCGCGAGGGACCTGGGCATCAAGGGTCTCAAGGTCTTCAACCTCGCATTCTCCAGCTCGGCAGTCCCCGCCACTGCAAAGTTCCCCGTGATACCCTCGGGGGTCGAGAGCGTGGGCATCGACACCGACCACAGCGATTACAAGTCCTTCTACGACGTGAGAGTGACGACAGTCGATCAGTTTGTACGGACAGAGGGCATCCGTCGCATCGACGTCTTGAAGGTACTCTTCCCATTCATTCGCCACGCGATGACCTTTGTCCACCCCAAAGATCGACACGGAAGGGAACGATGCGTTGGTCCTGATCGGTGCGGTGAAGTCGATCATGACCTTCAAGCCGAGCTACGTGCAGTTCGAGAACCACGGTGTTGGACATTGGTCGAAGATATCCCTGAAAGACGTCATCGACCTCCTCGATACTCTGTCGTACGACTGCTTCTGGGCTACCAATGACGGGAGGTTGATCAGAATAACTTCATGCTGGTCCCCCTCGTACGAAAAGGTAAAATCTTGGAGCAATGTCGCATGCTCCCATCGAGATGATGTGCTACTCTCCAAAATCATGACCGAATATGTTGTGTAAAAGCACGGCACATGAACCCCACCCCAAAAAAAAATCAATCACTCCCAGTGGAGTCAGTCTCCTCTCGCTGAATTCAAATACACCGACTCACATCAAACCTCGCCGCAAGCCACCAGATATGGCACGCCTTCGTCGCTCTCGGCGCATACACACATTGGTCCTCCTCCCTGCGGATGGCCGAATGAGACCAGCAAACAAAGCATCCGTATATATGGCAAACGGGGGCCGAAATCCCGTCTAGCGATACGCCCCACCACCCCACGTGAGCTCTCGAGCACATCCACATGGGGATCAACAGACATGAAATTTGACAAGGGTAATCACACAGTCTTTGTCTTGAGCGATGGACAACAACTCCTGGCTAACGTCGTCAACGCGCGGCAGAAACACAAACCTGCAAAGCCCCCAGATCCCTGCCTCATAAACTTTTACACTCGCTGGAAGAGCATGAATGATGACCAACATCCAAAACTCCCATCCCTCTTCACCCCATCGTCATCAATGCAATGAATGAATGAAATCGTTTTGTTTTGAAAAAACTCGTTTCTTTATGTTATGAATGGTACAAACCCTGCATGCATTCCCTGCACAATCTACTCCTCGGGACCCCGCATGGCATGCAAGCCCCCGTCTGGGTTACCGGCGGTTTCGCAAGGTCCACGAGCGCCTTCACTCCGCGATAACCATTCCTCGACAGCCCCCAAACACCGCTCCCAAGCACTGACGCTGCCCCCGCTCCCACCCCTCCAGCCACATAGCCTGTTAAGAAAGGCGAGTCTTCGAATAAGAGACTCGAGCCCGCACCGAGCAGCGCCCCCGTGCCCACTCCATACGTGACATGGCGGAGTAACTGTTTGTCCGGCTGCATAAACTCGTACGTCCCGTACCCGGCAAGCCCCGCTAGCCCCGCTGCAGCCACCCTCTTCGCCCACTTGTGCTTCGGCGCGTAGTTGGCTTCGTCATCCATGTTTCGGTGACAACACCCTGACTTAGACGATTGAACACTCATCATAAATATTGGTTTGGTGACAAATGTTGACCGTGGGGGCCTGGGACCTGGGACCTGGGAGTTCATTTCTCGGATTCACTGTCACGTAGAGCCAATGCCCCCAACCTTCAAAGCCGACCTAGCCAGCGCACTCGCGTAGAAACCAAGAATCACGTGAAACATCGTGTGCCCCCAGCCCGAGAAAACCCCACAGTTAACCCTAGGCACAAAGCAGACTCCACACAGGGCCATGCTCGCAACAACCACACCGTAGTTCCAGTAGTCCCCCCTCCATATCACCGGCCCCGTGTAGAGCAGCATGCTGACCATCACCCGCACCCATCGCCTCCCGTCGTTCGACGTCCTCGCATCCCACAGCTTCACGACACTCACCCCGTTGAACACCGCGTTCGCTATCATGTACCACAACGACCCCGACAGCGCAAAGCAGTACAGGGTCCCCACCACGTGCTGCATGCTCTGGTCCAGCCGCCTCATGTCATTGTCCAGCCTGTCCCTGTACCGCCCGCACGCCACACTCAGGTGGTACGTGAACGAAACCGGAAGGTGCATGCAGCTCCCCAGCAGCAGCACCGTCACATGCCAATCCCCCGTCGTCCAGGCATCCAGCCCCAGCACCACCGTCGGAACCACCATGGATATGCCGTTCATCGCCTCCTGGATTGGGCTCATGGCATAGACCTCGGACGCATGCGACGAACTCGAAAGCCCACACCCCCGTAAACCTCGGACCATACTTTCCTTCCTCGCGGAAGACAAAAATATATGTGGTTTAGTGACTGCCCCAGGGGCTACTGCCTCTCTGTGAAAGACATGCGGGGTAACGATCCACCCCACCCGGGCATGGTACCAAAAACAACCGCCCCCCCCCCACCCTAGATCTGGTTCCATCCACAAGAAAGCGCTGCGAGATGTGACGGGCTTGTGTTGAACACTGATTGGTTTCTTGATACCTGATTGTACATCGAAATACACCTTTCACAATACGGAGCTCCGGTCGTAGTTGCCCTTCTCCCATGTTTCACCTTTTTTGTAGAATGAGTTTGAGCAAGTTGTTGAAATTCTTGATCTGTGAAATGACCCATGTTCGGAGAATTTGGCTGAATATTATGCTTTGATTGTGACATATGTTGGATTTCATCGTACGTGAATTTACCTTTAGACATGTTTTTCTTGTCCTTTGGAAAGACTTGCTCTATCACTTGATTAGCATTCATTCTCCGGTTGATTGTCGATATGCTTTGACATGAACAAATATATACACACTGAAGAAACCCGAGGCAGTTTCAAAAACTGGTTTTTAGTATATATTCATTTTAACAAACAAAACACTGCCGTAATCTACGCGCAAGTTTTCCATGTCACTCTGCAAGAATTGCAACTTCACTCGAATGAAGAAGCACGAGTTCACAAACATCCTTCGCGAAAACCCAAAACCGTTGCTAGATTTTTGGAGGCAGATGCTCTCTCCGGTAGAAGCTTTTGAACCAGATTTGGCATTCCCCAGCTCTTGTTGAGCAACAGAAAAAGGATTTCAAGGAGATGCAAACACCCAACCCTGACTTTAAAGCAATGTCACAGAACGATCAAGGTGCACAGCTCTTGAAATATGAAGTTATGGTCAACAGAATGTCTGTATATGCGCACAAGTTTGCGATGTACAGCACTTTGTTAGCCGTTTTTTTTGCGCAATTCTTCAAAATCAATGGCAAGGACCACGACAGTCCTCAACATGTTAGATGAAGGATTGCAAAAAACGGCCATTGAACTGGGTAATTTGAGCAAAAGAAACTGGTTGATGATAACACGGTACAAGTTATCGAGCGCCCAGCGACGGGGGATGGAAAATCACATGCTATATGATAGTCTTGAGCTTGTTCATGATGTGGCAGGTCACCCCGAGACGAAGTTGGACATAATTGGAGTATTACAGAAACTCTTTCAAAATGTCGGTGTGTTGGTATTGCGAATCCCATATCAAGACGAGTTGTCTAGACCACAGAGGAATGAGATGTTTGGAGAATTTGTACAATTGATGACGGAATCGTGGCCGAAACTTCCCCGTGACACAATTGAAAAACTCTTGGAATCCCTTTTCGCGGGTATGTTTGCATTGATGTATGTAGTGCTGCTGGCGATTATCCCTGTGAAATTCGGTGTTGATGATCTCGAAAACGAATTGAGTGAAAAAAAAAGAATCCATGTCATCAATCGGGTGAACGAAAGGAATAAGAAGAGAGTTATGCAGTTTGTTCGACATATTTGACTGAATTGCACTGAACTCGTGAGCCAGCTTTCTTTGATTGAAGATGAGTGTTCGAACACGGCAACAAGGAAACGATCCACCCCCACCCGGGTATGGTACCAAAAACAACCCCCCCCCCCCCCCCCGGGTCGAGAAAAAAATGTTTAGATTATGGTCGGGAGGGTGGGTGGGGTAGTGTACGTTGGTTGTTGGGTAGCCGCGGGATAACGGCTAGTGAAAGTATGGTGAAACGGTGAAACGATTTTAATTTTTGGGTTTATATTTGAAAAGTGATTATAGTTTTTGTTTTTTCGTTCTGTCACACTTAGCACCAAGCGCACGTGCTGGCCCTTCAAAAAAAAGACTTAGCACCAAGTGCACGTGCAGGCCCTTCAAAAAAAGACTTGGCACCAAGCGCACGTGCAGGCCCTTCAAAAAAAAGACTTAGCACCTAGCGCACGTTCTGGCCCTTCAAAAAAAAAAGACTTAGCACCAAGCGCACTTGCCGTTGGGATAAAAAGATAACCGGGGTGTAGTAAAACCGTTGTCGGGGGGTGGGAAAAAAAGAAACAAAACCCTCTATTTAAAGGGGCGCCTTTGGTTACCCAACCCAAACCAACCATGAGTGCCACTGAATCCCCCTCCTCCTCATCCGCCCCTTCCTATCCTCTCACTCCCGAGGGCTTCCGCAACATGTACTTCGACTCGCTGAATATCGCACCACAAATCATCCAACGCCATGACTGGGGCGATCTAGAGCCCACCATCCAGGCCTCATTGAAACAGGCCAAGCAAGATATGAGGATACAGCTTGAGCGCACCCTATGCATCGAGCCGGATGGCCAGATCAACGGATCCGAGCGCATACTCCGTGACAACCTCCTCGGCAACGTTGTGGACGGGATCTCCGACCTTGCCGTGTTCTACTCGAGGTATGCGCCCGAGATCCTTGAGAGTACCGGGATCACCGCGGCGTCCATCAAGGAGATGATCCTCTACAACCCCAATGTGCATGGTTTCAGGCACCTCATCATGCAAGGGGGCAGCGGTAGCGGTATCAAGGCCATCTCATCCTTCTTTGAGGAGGTGGAGCAGATGATCAGATCCGGAACCCTCGACCTAGGGCCATCCTCTGACCCCCTGCAAGATAGGCTGCGGCAGCTCCATTACGATTGTGAACGGAGCGGGCTGGTGGACAAGAGCACCGACCTCACCATTGCAAGGATCATCTACTGCACAACGGTCATGGATCACATTGTGGGTTTGAGCGACAATGCGCACCCAACGGGCCTGGTGCATGATCAGAAGGCATATCTCAAGCAGCTTGGGATCGATGCCAAATGTACAACCCCCGTTGGGAGGGCGGTTGCGGACTACCTGGACCATGAATTCTATCCCGCGCGGTATGCGCACTCGCTTGTGCAACAATGGGTCGACGCCAAGTCGGATGACCTGGATGGTTTCTACCTCGCGTTCACCGTTGCCTTTGGATTGAGGTCGATGATGTGCGGCCTGACTGCAAGGCACAACCATCTCGATTGCCGCGTGTCTCTGAAGGCACATGACTTCTCCTGGTTCCTGGATCCGCGTGTTGGTGCTGGATACCTCAGGGATTTTGAGACACTCAGCCGCGTTGTCATGAGGGCCAACGTCGGAACGATGATGCGCATAGAGAACGCGTTGGTGAGTAACAAGAGGGGTGCGGCATCAAGGGCTTGTGTGGAAAAGGCGTCCACAAGGGATCTGAAGCGGAGGAGGATCGGAGGTGTTGCTGCAACATGATTTTGAATGAATGTTTAAAACAATTAGGTAATTTTTTTCCAACCGTTGCGTTTTTCGACACACGAATGAACCATTGGAGTTTTTCAAAAATGTTTTTGGAACAAAAAAATTTCTTATATGCGGGTCAAAAATGCGGGTCAATAATGTTTTCGGGTCAAAAACGCAACGGTTCAGGAACTTTTTGAAGGGCCAGCACGTGCTTGGTGCTAAGTCTTTTTTTTGAAGGGCCAGCACGTGCGCTTGGTGCTAAGACCAAAAGTCACGATACCGTAGTCACGATACAAAAGTAATGATACCAAAGTCACGATACCAAGGTCATGATACCGAAAGTCACGATACCAAGGTCATGATACCGAAAGTCACGATACCATGGTCATGATACCGAAAGTCACGATACCATGGTCATGATACCGAAAGTCACGATACCAAAGTCACGATACCAAAGTCACGGTTCCAAAGTCACGGCCGTGTGTAACGTGATGCGGTAACGTGACCTTCCCTTGCGCGCCTTTGAAAAAATCTGACCCCGGGGGGGTGTCTATTTGGTACCATACCCCTGGGGTAGTGGAACAGTTTTTGCAGTGTGTGAATCATGATCGGGGTCGGAATCTGAATCTGAATCTGAATTTGAATTTGAATCTGAATGAGAATCTGAATGAGAATCTGAATGAGAATCTTTTGAATTTGAGTCAGAATCTTGCGAATCATCCTGTGAATCATCCTGTGAATCATCCTGTGAATCATCTTGTGCATCATCTTGTGTGTCATCTGAGTTATCTTTTGATTTGTCTTTTGATTTGTCTTTTGTTTTGGTTTTTGATTTATGTTTTGATTTATCAATATTTTGTTTCTTATGATCTTTTTGTTTGATTGATTGAGCAATTTTTTCAAAGAAATTGGCAACCTTTTGTGCGATTTTTGAATCCCTCCATTGTTGAATCAATTTGACTGATTTATCATCTATCAAACTATGTTGATTTTTCAATTGATCGAGATCTGAATCTTTGTTTTTGATTACTTTACTTAGTTCCTGGAAGAAGTTTATCAATTTGTTTCTTCTTCCATTTTTTTTGTCCAATGTCTTGTAGTTTGCTGCCAGATCTTTTCCCCAAGTATCTATTTGTTTTTTTTGTTTTTCAGTGATTAGATTTTCATCAAATAAAGATTTAGAAAACTTTTCGACTTTCCATGTTATGTAATGATCAACTTTCATTGAATGAGCCATGGTGTGATTTGTGTTGAATGAGTATACATTTATATGATTTTATTGTTATTTTGTGGGAGGATGATGGTGATGGTTGGGATTATGGTTGGGATGATGGTTGGGATGATGCTTCAGATTACACTTCAGATAATAGGGTCCGGATTATGCTTGGGATGATGCTTCAGATGATGCTTCAGATGATGCTTCAGATGATGCTTCAGATGATGCTTCAGATGATGCTTCAGATTACACCTCAGATTACACTTCAGATAATCTCCGGACCCTTAGGGTCCGGATTATGCTTGGGATGATGCTTGAGATAATGCTTGAGATAATGCTTGGGATGATGCTTGGGATTATGCTTGGGATGATGCTTGGGATGATGCTTCAGATTACACCTCAGATTACACTTCAGATAATCTCCGGACCCTTAGGGTCCGGATTATGCTTGGGATGATGCTTGAGATAATGCTTGGGATGATGCTTGTGATGATGCTTCAGATAATGCTTCAGATTACACTTCAGATTCCCCTTCAGATAATCTCCGGACCCTTAGGGTCCGGATTATGCTTGGGATGATGCTTGAGATAATGCTTGCGATTATGCTTGGGATGATGCTTGAGATGATGCTTGCGATGATGCTTGGGATGATGCTTGCGATGATGCTTGGGATGATGCTTGAGATGATGCTTGAGATGATGCTTGGGAGGATGATGCTTGAGATTACACCTCAGATTACACCTCAGATTACACCTCAGATTACACCTCAGATTACACCTCAGATTACACCTCAGATTACACCTCAGATTACACCTCAGATTACACCTCAGATTACACCTCAGATTACACCTCAGATTACACCTCAGATTACATGCACCGCACCGTCCACACACCAATAATCAATTTCATTCACACATTCATTCCAAAACAATTTTCATATTTATTATCATTCTAATCACAAAATACATACAAAAAAAAAAAACAAAAATCATAAAATGATTCAATCTCAACAAATATCAAAAATTCTAAATTTATCCAATCAAGCTGCTATACAATTGAAACAAAATCAATTACAATTATACATTCAATCATTACAATCAATCAATCAATTCACTCTCTCACAAATTCAAAAAAATATAAATTCTCAAAACACACAATTACAATCCTCTCCACAAATCATTCAATTATATCATATACATTTTCAATTGTTATCAAACTTTCATAATTTCACAAAAAATAAAATTTCTGAATACAATCAATCATTCTCACAATCATTCTATATCCTAAACCCTCTGTCACAATTCAATGATAACAAAATATACATAATATTCCAACAAATTACAATATCAATCTTTCAATTCATATTCATAGCATCAATCCTCAAAAAAATAAAACAATTTAAATCATTGTTCAATCATCAAATACAATTCCAAGGTATATTACCATATTCAATCGGTACAAATGAATTCATACCAAAATTAATTCAAATCAAAACTCAATACAATATCAATTCAATACATTGCAAACAATAATACAACAAAATACAATATTCTGGGATAAAGTATTTCAATACTCTAAAACACAAAATAAACAAAAATCACAACAAAATACTTATTACAATCTGTTCATCATTCAAATACAATCTCTCTACAATCAATACACTTCAAGACTTTATAACTTGGTCGACAATTCAAACCCAAATTCAACTTTCATAGCAAATTTCTTATACAAAATTATCATAGACTTACAAACGTTGTTACAAATTTATAACTCCCAAATCAAAAAATCACTAGACAACCAAAAAAAATCAATATTTGATAACGTCTTTTCAAAATAATACAAAAATATATATTTTCTTTGTTATATAACACATTATTCCCTTATTTCTAATAAAAAATAACACATTTGGGTTATATAACACTTTGTTCGCTTATTTCTACTCAAAAATAACACGCTTTTGGCTACAAACGCGCTAAAAAGTACTCTTTCATCGCAAATTTGACAAACTTTTACTCGAAAACATCCTCTTTTCAATCATTAGCCGAGTTTTCACACATTAAAAATACGAAAAACACGCGATTTCATCGTAGTCATCCCTGTTTTCACTCAAAATTTCTCATCAAGTCATCACATTATCAACCTAAATACTCGAAAACACGCGATTTCGTTGTAGTCGTCCCGGTTTCACTCAAAATTTCTCATCAAGTCATCACACACAATCGAAACGTTGCGAGTTCACTACAATTATCAACGGTTTCACTCAAAATTTCTCATCAAGTCATCACATTATCAACCTAAATACTCGAAAACACGCGATTTCGTTGTAGTCGTCCCGGTCTCACTCAAAATTTCTCATCAAGTCATCACACACAATCGAAACGTTGCGAGTTCACTACAATTATCAAAGGTTTCACTCAAAATTTCTCATCAAGTCTTCACACACAATCGAAACGTTGCGAGTTCACTACAATTATCAACGGTCTCACTCAAAATTTCTCATCAAGTCATCACACACAATCGAAACGTTGCGAGTTCACTACAATTATCAACGGTCTCACTCAAAATTTCTCATCAAGTCATCACACACAATCGAAACGTTGCGAGTTCACTACAATTATCAACGGTCTCACTCAAAATTTCTCATCAAGTCATCACACACAATCGAAACGTTGCGAGTTCACTACAATTATCATAAACAACAACCGAAACGTTGCGAGTTCACTAAAATCTTCGTCATTCATTGTCATCCAAAATCCCCAAACGTCGCGATTTCTTATAATTTCTTCAGTTTTTATTCAAATTATACTAAAGATTTATAGAAAATCATAACAAAAAACCACACATTATCTACTTTACAACCCCCTTCACAGACACATTTTCCAAACAGAACCAAATTCTCTATAATAAAACTAAACATTATCATCGAGACCACCGTATGACTCCTGTTCTCCACCCCTGCAGTGATTTCGCCATGTCATTTAAAATTTGAAACGTATATATGTAAAGTCGCTTACTTTTGCGCATTTGGAGCACTTTTTGCTCACTTTTTTGAATAACACGGTACCGTCACTAGCAATTCAGAAGCGTGCCAACTACAGGATATTTCAGGCTCCATCAGTTCATACGTATCTATCACGAACTTCAAGATAAGACGATCAAATATAGGTGGAATTTACGTGAAAACCTTCTCCATGCGACAACACGGTTGCTCGAACTGACTCCAGAATCATTTTGCACTGATGGTGATGTCATTTTTCGCTGTAATCAGTTTCTCTGCAGGGATCGACTTTCGACGTGCAAGTGAAAACAACCCGACCTCAAAATGATGAATAGACGAAGAAACATGCAAATCCATGAAACTCTGAATTGCAACCACATCATGACATGTACCAAGCGGACAGTTCTTAGGATAACAAAGCAAAGTTCTGTTGACCGCTGTTTGGTTGCATTTCGATTTATGGGTTTTGGTTAAGATTGAATTGTTCTTACAATTTTTGCTAGAAATGTCATGACCCACGGATATGTAAGCATCAATTCCTGCAGCTTTGGCAATGTGAAACACATTGGTGTTGTACAGGATAGATTGGAACTCTAACACCATTTTAGGACGAGATGAGAACCAAAGCAAAAACAAATGAGAGCCGTGAGGACTAAGAATGATATCTGCATCGTCGAATCGTCGAACTTGCACCAAAACAGGAATATCAGATGTGGTAGTCAGATTGAAACAATATATGTTGTATAGCATACAAAGTTCACGATAAAGAATGCCCAAATTACAAATCGTGCGCAAGGAGGTTCCTTCCTTGCGATGATAAAACCCCACCGCCAATCGAGTGAAAGGTCGAAGATCAAAACTGTATCCCAGAAATTTATGTATATCTTGGACAAACAATAGTCTTTCTTGGGTGTTGATCAAAGGACCATACTGAGGGCTGACGAAAACCTCGTTGAAACAATGGTAAATTTGCGATTTGAGTGGGATGTCAAAATATTCAAAGTTTACAAAAGTGAGGTTTCTCTTGTCAAGTACTATTTTCCACAGTAAACGCAGCATTATCGAAGAGATGTAAGTGTTCCTATTGAATGAACAACCTCTGGTGATCAGCATATGATATGGTTTCCTCCTCAAACTCAAAATCTTTACCAGGTGGTGCGTTTGGTACAATCCAAAAAGCAAATGAGTAGGATTCGCCCCTGAGGACCAGCAATCCGCCATGATGGCCGTTCTTGTATACCACCTTTGCTCCCGGATATCCGACGTTCTAATTGCGTTCTGCTTGAATTTACTGCCTGCATTACATTTTACATGTCCATGAGTAAGCAACCTTGACTCTCCGTCAACACAAACGTTTTGTAATAGAAATATTTGACTAGCAAAGTACTTGCACGCACTGATATCTTTCCTTTGAGATTACAAAGAGGATGTTGCACGAGAGGGGTTTCCTTGGTCATAATATTATACAAAAAATCAGAACGCAAGGAAAAAAGTACAACGCTTACAAACAATAATGTGAAAACGGGAAAATGTCTGAAAGTGAGGGGTGAGAAAGTAGGCATAGCGGTGAGGATCACCCAACAAAAGGGGAGAAAGGCAAGAAAGACCCTTTTTTCGGCCGGGATCCCAAAATAGCGCAAATGCCCTTCGCCGTCGATGAATGTAAACCTCCCTGAAGACCATTATCCAGACGGCCAATATTATGACTACGTTTATAAAAACGATAAGAATTATAAACCGCTTATGAAATATCTATTACACTGCTTAAAATTAAAAATATCTATTCTATATTGACACTGCAATACTAATAAAAATTCTGATTAAACTTAGTAGAAACAATATTTACAAAAGGGGTATTCGACAGAAACGCGCAGATTGTTTCGTTTCACAGACTTAAAACCTGAAGTATTTTAAAGGATACTCTTCTATGCCTTCACGGGTCCAAACAGGGCAATGTCATCTAAAGGGGGTGGATACTATTTGGTACCAATTAGATCTCTCCGGGCGGCCGTGACCGGTCAGCGGACCGTGTCAGCAGGCCCGTGACATGTCAGCCGGCTGACAGGGGCCGTGACCCGGCTGACAGGCTCACCTGACCGGTCACGTGACACATCACGTGACCGAGACAAGACTTTTTTATATCGCAGATCCAAAAACCCATAGGACATTTCTCCCAGGGGGAAGAAAACCTCCCTTGACCCCCCTGTTTCTCGACGGATCCTGCCGGCCGGGCCCGTCAGTACCTTCAGCCCCGCCTC